CGGAATGGAGCGAATGATATGTACATAATCTAATATTGTACTCAAAATATCACATCCAATGTCGAATATACACGAGGAATACTTTCCAATTTCTTTTCTATATCCCATGAATATTTTATTCTGTCGGGGTAGATGACGCGGAAAATCATTTAGACGTGGAGATGCGGATTGCAATGGTCTCCAGGACGCGCGTAATGTAAAAATGCTTTTTACTGGCGCTTGGAATATTTCCAAGAATGCGAACAGCAGGAAAGCTTACCGGAGCGAACGAGGTCGTTTTCAGCCGTGACGCGTTCCCTGACACGGCGATAATGTTCGAGCAATTACTCGTGAAAGGTCCTCGTCGTGTCGACCTATGGGAAGGGAGTATGCCGAGTAATTCATCTTCAATCCGTATAGAAGCAATCAGGGTGATGCAACGCGACGCCGCACCGCCTCGCTCTGCATTGTTTAGATTCCGAAGAATTTAATTTTAAAATAGGCTCAATCAAATACCGAGTATTACGTAACCGGGGGATGCCCCGAGGTCGCGAGCTATTTTATCCGCGTTTCCGTTTGCTGCATCCGCTCCATTCGCTCTATTCCGTGAACAGCAACGTCACGTTTGGTCGTTCCGGATATCGGAAGAAAATACCCTAAAAAAGCAGAATAACTAAGGTGACTCCATGATCTACGAAAATTTGGGCTTATTTTGCCGTATTCGCTTGTGGCGGTTGCCTTTCGCATTTATTTACGACTCCTCTGCGGCTATGTGAATGGCCGCCATCTTGGATCCGGATCTTTCAACCCTCTATGGGTCGAGTTTTTCATTAAATAAAAAAAAATTGGGGGAACGAAAAATCAACAATTAGGAACCTATATATGTAAATGAAAAAAAAAATTTTCATTTAAAACATGACCTGAAAGTTCCACGGGTCCATAGAGGGTTAAAATAAGGCTGCTCGGATATTCGGAACTCAGACAGTATAAAATATTCATAGAATATAGAAAAGGAGTTGGACAATATTCCTCATGTATATTCGACATTGGATTGATATTTTAAGTACAATATTAGATTATGTACATATATACAATATTGGTTTAGCAATGTCACTTGAAATATGGAATACGGTTCTATAAATACTACAAGCGTTAGAAAAGGTTTGTAATATAACATTGAAATACTAAAGTTAACAATTATTTTATACATTTTCGTAACCGGGGGATGCCCCGAGGTCGCGAGGTATTTTATCCGCGTTTCCGTTTGCTGCATCCGCTCCATTCGCTCCATTCAGTGAACAGCAACGTCACGTTTGTTCGTTCCGGATATCGGAAGAAAATAGCGTAACTAACGATGACTCCATGATCTACGAAAATTTGTGCTTATTTTACCGTATTCGCTTGTGGCGGTTACCTTTCGCATTTATTTATGTCTCCTTTGCGGTCTATGTGAATGGCCGCCATCTTGGATCCGGATATTCCCGATCTTTTAAAATAAGACTGCTCGGATATTCGGAACTCAGACAGTATAAAATATTCATAGAATATAGAAAAGGAGTTGGAAAATATTCCTCATGTATATTCGACATTGGAATTATATTTTAAGTACAATATCAGATTATGTATATATGATAATGTTTCCCAGATATAGTCCAAATATTTCATGTTTTATATATATCAATATTGGTTTAGCATTGTGATTTGACATATGGAGTACTCCCACTGAACATCAAACCTAACAGTTACGTAACTTAAAACTAACAAATAACATAACGTTTGTTACAATGTAATAACCTAACAGTTACGTAACTTAAAACTAACAAATAACATAACGTTTGTTACAATGTAATAACCTAACTGTTACGTAACATAGAGCTAATTAGTTACATGACATTTGTTACAATGCAGTAACTTAACATTTATGTATTATAGTCATTGTTCGCTAGTCGAATAAAATCCTAATTGTCTTTAAGTAAAATCAGATAGTTTATCATTACATAATTTCATTGAAAGTCTGATTTGTCATTTAATATCTAACTATTGTCAAGTACCAAGAAATAATTAAAAATAATAAATTATATAATTTTGAATAAAATTGCGTGATCTTTTTCATTAAGGAATGAAAAATTAATATTATTTTAAGGTGACTGAAATTATAACATTAATATAACGCGTTACATAACATGTTACATTGCCGAGTGGGAAATAATAACTAATACCTAACGTCCATGTTACTTTTATGTCACACAACATGTTAGTTTCGAAAACGTAACATTTACCCAACAGTTATATAACAGTGTTCACTGGGTAGTAAAGGTTGGAACGATTCGGTGCACCCAGTTAGGAGAAAAGTTTCACGATCGATCCTTCAGATGTCACTTTCAGATCACTTTAAACCCTCGTTATGCGGTGACGATATTGTTTGCTTTGAATCTAATAAACGTCTTTTCTCAGGGCCGACCTTCGAAATGAGCAACGTCATCGTAAACGATCAGCAAGCGAATTCCCATTCGGCGGCCTTGGACCATCTCCTCAGAGAACGGTGAAATACGGTGTCGATTTGTTAAGGTGAAGTGAAACCCCCTTCAAATCAGTCGATTCGAATACAACACTTTTATTTAAGGGTATTGGACCAAACTGTCCGAAACTTTGACACCTCACGCCTGATCATCTAAGAATTGTCCTGACACATTCACAATTTGGATTTTTTAAGAAAAATTTGTTAACTCAGCCCAGACTAGAACCAAAATGGAGTCGAGCACTCATATTTCGATTAATATACAATTATCGAAGGCTCTGATATGAGAAACGAAAGGGTCGAGACAATTTTATGACAATTAATAACACTCTGGTAATCGATAAACTCGCATTTGAACGGGATAAGGGCAAAAAAAATGTTGTATGCGCTTCTATGCTAAAACGGTGGGAATACGAGGTCTCGGAGTGAAAACTTAATTGACCTGGAAATCACAGATGGCGCAGGGGGTCCTTCTGCAGTCAATTAGGGCCACAGTAAGCACGAATCCAGAAGATTTCTAGCGTTTTACTTCGCTTTCTTCGGAATGGAGCGAATGATATGTACATAATCTAATATCGTACTNGTTTTACTTCGCTTTCTTTATAATTATTGTACGAAAACGACAGGTGGAGTATGCCATTTGGTACAATATTCAATGTAATTCGACACAGCTGTCGATATAAAAACGGACGTCGACAACGTAGGCATTTAAAAAAATCATCTTTATCGACGTCGATCAAGTTCCTCGACGTTCCTCGACACCTTAAGGTGAAGTGGAACCCCCTTCAAATCAGTCGATTCAAATACAACACTTTTATTTAAGGGTATTGGACCAAACTGTCCGAAACTTTGACACGTCACGCCTGATCATCTAAGAATTGTCCTGACACATTCAAAATTTGGATTTTTTAAGAAAAATTTGTTAACTCAGCCTAGACTAGAACCAAAATGGAGTCGAGCTCTCATATTTCGATCGATATACAATTATCGAAGGCTCCGATATGAGAAACGAAAGGGTCGAGACAATTTTATGACAATTAATAACACTCTGGTAATCAATAAACTCTCATTTGAACAGGATAAGGGCAAAAAAAGAGTTGTATGCGCTTCTATGCTAAAACGATGGGAATACGAGGTCTCGTAGTGAAAATTTAATTGACGTGGAAATCACAGATGGCGCAGGGGGTCCCTCTGCAGTCAATTGGGGCCCCAGAAAGCATGAATCCAGAGGATTTCTGGAGGTTTACTTCAATTTCTTTATAATTATTGTATGAAAACGACAGGTGGAGTATGCTATCTGGTACAATAACCAATATAATTCGATACAGCTGTCAATATAAAAACGAACGTCGACAACGTAGGCATTTAGAAAAATCTTCTTTATCGACGTCGATCAAGTTCCTCGACGTGTTTCACTTCACCTTAAGTATTCGGAATGGCATTCCCATTAAAAAGGGTATTGATAAATTTTAATTTATCGACCTCGATTAAATTTCCCAGTACCTTTTGTATCATCTTAAATTCATTTAATCGAGCAGGTGACGAAGAAACGTGTATGTGTATATAGATATATTTATTCTCACGTACACGTGTTAAAAATATAAAAATATCGTGCCCTGTTATGAGGAATATCACGAAGGTTTATATAAATGAAATTCGAGTTACACTTCTAGGAAATCCGTGTTAATAAAGTTGTAGGCTCGTTCCTTCGGGCAATTCTCTTCCGTTTCATAGATTCTGGAAAATAAAGGGGATTGAATAATTATACTTTATTTATGTAGGATTATGTTTAGGGATTGGGAGTACTTACTGTTTTAAGACTCGGTCTCAGACTGGGTTTGACGTGGAAGTGCACTTCTGTCTTCCTCGATCAATTTCTGGTGTACAGTACTGAGAGCCTAGAGAGTACAACAAAAATGTAATACAAGTACAAAGAGGACAAAATAGTCAATAAGTTAATTGATTAATATCTTGAAAGAATTGATAAAGTCATGATGAGGATTATTAAAAATCAATACCTTGAAGTACTTCACCGTCTTCACCCGAAGCTCCAGTGTAGCATCTTCGTCACAAATGATTAGTGTACGTGGATGTTGCTGGAAAGCTGACACGGTCCACATGTGATTGACTCCCTCTTCGATGGCTTTATAAAGTGCAAATGCTTTATGAGATCCAGTAATAAGTATCATCACTTCCTTCGAATCCATTACAGTTCCCACCCCAACTGTCAGTGCTTGTTTTGGCACTTTATTTATATCATTCCCAAAGAATCTGGCATTTGCTTCCAAAGTATCCTGAGCTAGGGCCTTGACTCTCGTACGAGAAACCAATGACGATCCTGGTTCATTAAAGGCTATGTGTCCGTCAGGACCGATACCTTATTAAAGACAAACATATAATTATTATTCTCAGGGTAGAGATATAAATTCATATTTCTTAATAATTCAGAAATTGTCATTTACCTCCAATGAATAATTCTATCCCACCAGCATCTTTAATTTGCTGCTCAAATTCATTGCATTCTTTTTCCAGGTCTGGTGCATTGCCATCAAGAATGTGAACGTTTTTAGGATCGATGTCTATGTGCTTAAAAAAATTATTGTACATGTAATAATGATATGACTCTGGATGATCTCTTGGTAGATCCACGTATTCATCCATATTGAATGTCTTAACATATTTGAATGAAATTTTTCCAGCCTTGTAGTACTCTATAAGTTTCACATACATTCCGTACGGTGTCCCTCCTAAAGAAGTAATGGAAATAATTTAATACATGTTCAATACTTTTCAGATCTAATGTACAGGAAATAATGGTGGGATTACCAGTAGGCAGTCCGAGGACGAAGTATTTATTTTCATTTGGTTGAAAATTATTGATCCTTTTCATTACATACTTGGCAGACCATTCCGCTACGAAGTCCACGGTATCACAGATCACTAGTCGCATCTTGAGAAGCTTTTACTGCACCTGTAAAATATTACAATAATTATTTATTATAAACTAAAGAACAAGCTTTGCTAACAGTGAGATTTATTGGATCGTCTCACACTGGAATGGTAGAATCACTAAGATTGTCAGCGGTTTATCAATACGTCTTAATATAAAACCAATTGTGTCACTTGATAATTCTAAACTTACCTACTTATATCTTATAAAATGGCTGAAATCTATGCACTAGCGTTTAAACAAATGACCCGAAACAGTAAAGACAATTACGCTATTATGTGCAGAAAGAAATGAGGAGTTGCAATCTGGTAGAATTCTTTTCCTCTTTAGGTCTGAAAAGATATAGCTTCGACTTGTGCGAAGGTGATAAACAGGAAGCCAATGAACTCTTATCAAAGGAACTTGAAAATGGAGCACCTTTATACATGTTTTGAAACTCGATTAGATGAGATGATAAATTATATATTAAAATTTATCTCTTTCACCATCAAACACACCCTAAACTTTAGTTTTTAATACATAATAGCCCATTCCTTTCCATTCTTATTCTTTACATTCTACTTTCTCGATATCTAATGTTACCAAGATTCCAGCTATATAATTTGACTGTAAAGTGGTAAAATGTAACCTTGTTTTCCGTAATTATTTCATTGACACTAGAGTTCACGGCTTTGAAGCCTTGAAATACTTTCATTCTTTTTTGAGGACAATGACCAACGATATGGTAAATGCCAAGCATAAAATACATTCCCTTGAACTAGGTGTGACATTTCTCTCCTATTGTTTTGCCTTTCAAAACTGTTCCACTATGATTGAATAAATTTTCTATAAAATTATGGGTATAAGAATGAGTAAAAATCGGTAAAAGCTAACCTTGCGTGACGAGTTCTCGGCAAGAGCATCCGCCCAACCAATGCAATCGTCCACCAGCCAGCTGATTACAGCCTAACCTTAACACTTGACAGCATAACCTGCAATGTTTAAAATGTTTCAAATGAACATGCCCTGATTGGTTTGACAAAAATGTTTTTTGGACATTTACTACATACATTTTGTGAAAATAACCTCAAAAGATGTCTCTTTAAACGTCCAGCCAGCCGGCGAATGTACCGAGGAAATAGGTTAGGTCGCGTTTTGGCGCGAATTTTGGGGCGAAGCAAAGCAGGGTCAATGTTGCTGTTCCAGCAGAATAAATTCTGTTTAATTGTCAAATAAGGAGCTTTTTGTTCGATTTCACTGTTAAACTGGTGCCTGTCAATATGCCGGATATAACAATCAATGGAGTTATTGTTACCTTTCCCTTTAAACCGTACTCTGTTCAGGAGGAGTATATGGCAAAAGTGATAGAATGTTTACAAAATAGTAAACACGGTGTGTTGGAGTCTCCTACAGGTATATTCTTAAATATGATTAGTTATAATTTACGAGTTGTGTTAAAACAAGTTATTCGACAATGATTTACAGGTACTGGAAAGACGTTGTGTTTACTGTGCTCCTCGCTGAGTTGGCTCCTGATCAAAAAGGCGCAGATGCAAGCTCAAGTGCAGGCAGGAGCTCTTCAAAATGAGGAATTTGGAGGAAGCTTCTTTAATCAATTGAATAACAAACTTGACAAGGCAGCGGGGACGCCTAATATATCTACAAACTTTGGCTGGACGATGCCGAAGATTATTTACGCCTCTAGGACACATTCTCAACTTTCACAAGCTATGCAGGAATTAAAGAGAACATCTTACAAACATGTTAAGGTAGCGGTGCTGGGATCAAGGGACCAGCTTTGCATTCATCCAGAAGTCTCTAAGGAGCAAAATTCGTTTATGAAAATTCAAATGTGCCAAGCAAAAGTAAAAGCTAGAACGTGCATGTACTATAATAACGTCGATCATAGGTATTTAACGAGATGTATATTTGAATGTAACATGATTGTACATTTAATTCCCTGTGTCAAGTTTGTTTATATTTATACAGAAAAGACGATCCTATATTTCGACAAGATATTCTCGATATAGAAGACTTGGTAAAGGCAAGTCAAAAAGTGAAGTGCTGCCCTTACTTTTTATCAAAGGAATTGAAACAGTCTGCTGACATCACCTTCATGCCTTATAATTATTTATTAGATCCCAAGACAAGGAAAACACAAGGAATAGAGTTGTTAAATAATGTGGTGCTCTTAGATGAAGCGCACAATATTGAGAAGACATGCGAGGAAGCTGCATCTTTACAAGTAATATATTGTATTTATTTTGCGTTACCCCTATTGTTGAAAATTTTTGTTTTATCATTAGAATAATGTAAAAGGTCAATCATTACAGATAAGCAGCACAGATATAGCTTTATGTATTGATGAAATAACAGCTGTGATGAGATCGATGGCGAATGAATTAGAACAAGAAATTGATTTTTCATCCGAGGGATCCAATTCCGTCCAAAAAGATTTCACTGCAGAAGATTTATGTATCTTGAAGACTATGTTTTTAGAATTAGAAAAAGCTGTAGATGAGATTAAAATTCAAAAACGTGAGGAAGGGGATGTCATGCCAGGTGGTTACATCTTCGAGCTCCTTGAGAAAATAGAGGTAAAGAAGAATTATTTTACAAACGGATAAAGCAAAGTAATAACTTCATTGTTTTCCAGCTGACGCATGGCAAAGAGCAACTTGTGATAGACAAGTTAGACAAAATTATTGTCTACTTGTCAGCAACCGGTACTTCTCCATTCTCAAGGAGAGGAACCGGACTTCAAAAATTCAGCGATCTCCTAAGAATCGTCTTCAATAGTGGAAAAGGTGCACTAAAACACCGAGAGGACGTTAAGAGGTGTTACAAGGTTTACATTCAGCCTGAAGATGCGAAGAAAAATCAGAAAACTGATAGTTGGGAGTCCAAGAAAATCGTGAAAACCAGTGAAGGAAAACTCATCTGTTACTGGTGTTTTAGTCCCGGTTTTGGGTAATTGTTAATTACGTTTATTATTCTGTTTTAAATTTTAAGTGTTCAATGATATTCATTCAAAAGTGAAATCGTGTCTGGTTCTAAGAATGCAGCAATTAGCAGAACAAGGTATTCGCTCGGTGATTCTAACCAGTGGTACGCTATCACCATTGAAGCCATTTATATCAGAGATGGGTATTCCAATAGATGTGCAACTTGAGAATCCTCACATCATAACGGGACGTCAAGTGTGTGTCGGAGTACTCAGTCAAGGGCCCGATGGCCATCCTCTTAACTCTTCGTTTAACACGAGGTATCTCCAAGCGTATAATTATGCCCTAATATTTTCTTAAATTAAAATACATGGCAAGTAACATTTACAAACTTCATCGTCGCCTGTACAGAAATGATCCAAAATACATCGCATCTCTTGGAAGGACCGTATACAATTTCAGCTTCCTGGTTCCCCATGGTATGCTGGTGTTCTTTCCATCTTATCCAATAATGAAGAAGTGCAAAGATGAATGGCAGAATTCTGGCCTATGGACAAAAATAGCTAGCCGTAAGGTACGTAAGACACCTGTGTGTACCACTTATTTCCTGTTTCTAACATTGTATAAATATTTCCAGCCAATATATGTGGAACCTCAATCCAAGGAAAGTTTCCTAAACATCATGAACGAGTATTATGAAAAGATTCAAGATCCTTCCGGCAAGGGAGCAATTTTCATGGCAGTGTGTCGAGGGAAAGTCAGCGAAGGATTAGATTTTGCCAACGCTAATGGTAGAGCTGTACTGATTACCGGTCTTCCATTTCCTCCTCTAAAAGATCCCAGAGTTGTCTTGAAGCAGAAATACTTGGAAGAGATCAGAACCAAGGACCGAGAGGTGACTGGCCCGACGCAGTACTTGTTAATTAAAATTATGAGGATTTATAGACATTGATTTCTTTTCCAGTGCTTGACAGGCCAACAATGGTATCAGCTGGAAGCATCTCGAGCTGTTAACCAGGCCATCGGTCGTGTCATTCGCCACCAAGATGATTACGGAGCTATCATTCTATGCGATTGTCGATTTGAAAATCCAAACTTTCAGAAACAGCTATCGGCTTGGCTGAGGCCACACTTGAAGAAATTCACAAACTTCGGAGTGGTCACGAAAGAGCTGAGGGAGTTCTTCAGATATGCCGAGAATACTGTTAGTTACGTAATTCGTGGTATTTAAAAAGAAAATGGAACTACCCAGTGATCACTGTTATATAACTGTTGGGTAAATGTTACGTTTTCGAAACTAACATGTTACGTAGCATAAAAGTAACATGTTACGTAGCATAAAAGTAACATGGAAGTTAGATGTTAGTTATTATTTCCCACTCGGTAAGGTAACACGTTATATTAATGTTATAATTTCAGTTACCTTAAAATAATATTATTTTTTCATGCATTTAATAAAAAAGATCACGCAATTTTATTCAAAATTATATAATTTTTTATTTTTAATTATTTTTTGGTACTTGACAATAGTTAGATATTAAATGATACATCGGACTTTCAATGCAATTATGTAATGATAAACTATGTGATTTTACTTAAAGACAATTAGGATTTTATTTGACTAGCGAACAATGACGATAACGATTATTTAATAAAATAAATGACAGCACCAGTGTAGTTCTGTTTTGTTACGAATATGTGCTGCATATACACAGTAATATCAGAACAGTAACATAGTATAAGACGAGAGTAACAAAGTTATGCTACATTTATATAGATATGATAGTAAGAAATGTTATGTAACCTGTTAGCTCCATGTTACATAACTGTTAGGTTATTCCATTGTAACAAACGTTATGTTATTTGTTAGTTTTAAGGTGTTGTGAAAGTGACGTCGAAGAGGTTTCGTTTATAAAACTTTTCTCCCAACTCGGTTTACCGAATAGTTTGAAACTTCACAACGTGAATAGGAAGACTATAAGGGAGGTCCTGAAACTCATGAAATTTCAGTTCTTTTCCAATTTATTTATAGGCATTTTAAAAATAGTTTATAAAAAATGAAGCTTTGCGAGTTTCAGAACCTACCTTACGATGCATTACAAGTGAATTAACTGATACGTCCCACTGAACACCAAATCTAACAGTTACGTAGCTTAAAACTAACAAATAACATAACATTTGTTACAATATAATAACCTAACAGTTACGTAACTTCAAACTAACAAATTTACCCAACAGTTATATAACAGTGTTCACCGGGACGTTGCATTACAAACGAGTCTGATGATGTGTCGCAGATGCAAAAATCATTTTCATCTATGGAAATAATTTTTTTTTAGTTGCCGCAGCCAACGATGAACAAAGTCAAGTACAACAGGGAGGATTACTCGTTGCCAGCAGTACCAGCAAGATTCAACGCGACGACGACTCGGTCTTCAGGAAATATCCCTGTTTCTCCAAGGGCTCCTGCGAGTAAATCCGAAAGTTACAACATCCAGGACTACGTGGGTGACTTGTCGCAAGCCAAGCCGGGGAAGGAATCTAAGAAGGACTTCTTCGAGATGCTGGAGACCTCGTCGAAGTCGGAAATTAATTTTAGCGAGTGCCAACTGAAAGGCAGCTGGACACGCTGCGAGTTGTCCGCCGACGTGAAGGAGCCAGCCACGAAGAAGAGGAAACTAAAAGTCCTACCGGTCGAATTCAACGCCAATTTATCCGAGCCTTCGACCAGTGCTCAGCCGAAGAGTAAAACGACCCCGGAAGGCAGCGAAGATAAACCTCTTATCGAGACGAAATCTATCGACGAGAAAAGAGAAATGGGCAAGGAGTACTTGAAGAACGTACGTAGCGCGAATATGCATCTACGAATGATTAGGGTTAAGGTGAAGTGAAACCCCCTTCAAATCAGTCGATTCGAATACAATACTTTTTTTTAAGGGTATTGGACCAAATTGTCCGAAACTTTGACACCTCACTCCTGATCATCTAAGAATTGTCCTGACACGTTCAAAATTTGGATTTTTTATACAAATTTTTTAACTCAGCCCAGACCAGAACCAAAACTGCGTCGAGCTCTCATATTTCGATCGATATAGAATTATCAAAGGTTCTGATATTCGAAATGAAAGGATCAGGACAATTTTATGACAATTTAGAACATTCTGGTAATCGATAAACTCGCATTTGAACGGGATAAAGGCAAAAAAAGTGTTGTATGCGCTTCTATGCTAAAACGATGGTGGAGCGTCGATAGCCCATCCGCGCTAATTAGTAGTATAAATTTAATCTTTTATAATCGCTCGAGTCAAGGCCCACGGAAACTCGAGGTCCTTCCCACGCGTACCGAAGGACCCGAGCTACCCTCGAAAGGGGGGCAATAAAACTTACGAGTCCGAGCATTCTCAAAGGGTCTCCTTTCGAGGATTTTCGCCGAAGGTCCGAGATGACGTCTGGCGAACAGATTTTTTAACTTTCTAAAAATTCCGAAGCCCGCTTCTGGCGACCAGACGCCACTCGAGGGTTTTTTCCGCGAACCCGCGGCCTACGTGCCGGCCGCTTCGCGGGTGCCTTCGAGGGCGGAAACCCTTCGGGAATTTCTCTCTGCCAATGAGAATGCTCGACTCAAGGTCCGACTTCCTCCCTCCACCGAGTTGGAGGGAGGACTATGCATTCGGATATTTTTTAAGATTTTTGGTAAAAATCAGATTCCTACAGACCGTTGCCGAGTCAACATCGAGTCCAGTAAAGCGTTGCCGAGTCAACGTAGATACCATCAGAAAGTTGCCGAGACAACTTCGATTCTCTTAAAACGTTGCCGAGTCAACGTAGATTCTCTCAGAAAGTTGCCGAGACAACTTCGGGTCTCTTAAAACGTTGCCGAGTCAACCAACCGAAAGTTGCCGAGACAACTTCGGATATCAAAAACGTTGCCGAGTCAACGTACAAAGGGTCCAGTTGCCGAGCCAACTGAGAACTTAACCATTTCGTTGCCGAGTCAACGCAAACGCGAAGACCAGTTGCCGAGTCAACTAACCACCACCGTAAATTCACGCATCTTCCCTTGTCTGTAAAGGAAATACAGTTTGTTGTGTCACTAAAATCCGAAATATTTCATTCAATACGCGAAACCAGCTGCTGGCGGTTAATACCCTCTTCAGCAAAACACTATTCGAGCCCGTCTTCCCCAGCCCGAGGATTTACGACCCTCGGGGATTGACTGACAATCGCGAGTTGGTTTAGTGTCGCAGAACAGATGGGAATACGAGGTCTCGGAGTGAAAATTTAATTGACCTGGAAATCACAGATGGCGCACGAGGTCCTTCTACAGTCAAGTAGGGCCTCACCTTAAGGTGAAGTGAAACCCTCTTCAAATCAGTCGTTTCGAATACAACACTTTTTTTTAAGGGTATTAGACCAAACTGTCCGAAATTTTGACACATCACTCTTGATCATCTAAGAATTGTCCTGACACATTCAAAATTTTGATTTTTTAAGAAAAATTTTTTAACTCAGCCCAGACTAGAACCAAAACGGCGTCGAGCTCTCATATTTCGATCGATATAGAATTATCAAAGGCTCTGATATGCGAAATGAAAAGATCAGGACAATTTTATGACAATTTATAACATTCTGGTAATCGATAAACTCGCATTTGAACGGGATAAAGGCAAAAAAAGTGTTGTATGCGCTTCTATGCTAAAACGATGGGAATACGAGGTCTCGAAGTGAAAATTTAATTGACCTGGAAATCACAGATGGCGCAGGGGGTTCCTCTGCAGTCAATTAGGGCCCCAGAAAGCATGAATCCAGAGGATTTCTGGAGTTTTACTTCGATTTTTTTATAATTATTGTACGAAAACGACAGGTGGAGTATGCTATTTGGTACAATGCCCAATATAATTCGATATAACTGTCAATATAAAAACGAACGTCGGCAACGTAGGCATTTAGAAAAATCTTCTTTATCGACGTTGATCAAGTTCCTCGACGTGTTTCACTTCGCCTTAATGCATTACAGAGAAATTTTATTTCAGGTCAAGCGAGTTTTATCGGAGGACAAGTACAAGATGTTCGCGAAGATTATTCAGAGCTACACGAAGGATGGAAACTTTCAGGAGCTCATAGACACGCTGGAGATCTTATTCCCTGCGAACGAAAATCTAGGACATCTATTCAAGGGTTATACCTTTTCTCCTGTTTATTTATTTTCTTTTCTCTTTCATCGATCGAATGAATGATTACATTACATTTTTATCATTGTTTCAGGCTTTAGGAGTTTTTTAAAGAAGCAGCACATAGAACGCTTTGACATGCACGTCAAAGTTTTGGATGCGCTTAACTTTTAGGAATAAATTATTTAAACTGCTTTGGCACCTTGTAACGCGATATTTTTTTCTGTACATAATTACGAGTAGCGTTAATTGCGATGGATTTTCTGCTAATTATGCGATTTGCATAGAATGCCTTTGTTAACTTGGAAACTGGGACATTTGTAACTCGATATATCTTGTGTACATAATTACGAGTAGCGTTAATTGCGATGGATTTTCTGCTAATTCTGCGATTTGTATCGAATGCATTTGTTAACTTGGAAAAGGGGAAGATAATGAAATTGTACTTTTCTGTTGTTTATTATTTATTGTATCCGTTCCTAGGAGGTACAAACATCGCAATACATCATTCTGGTTATTTGCATTTACACGTTAAGAGAATTCCTTGTTAGAAAGCGGTATACTCTTCGAATCGATTTCATTTCATTTCATTTCATTTCATGGGCCAATGAGGACAGGCCGATCTAGAATTAATTCCTGCTTACGCTTCTTGCACTTTCTACTTAATTTATCTTACAAACAGTTATTCAGTTACCAATCGCCAATTATTCTTGACAATGCAACATTCTATTGGTCTCAAACGTTACTTGATCTCATCCACTCGATATTATTTTTCAATCGATGTGATGCACCATAAATATGTTTATCTCACCAATACCTCATTGAATTGACAGTTTTTCCTGCAATAGTATACAAGCTGCAATTCACAGCAAAATTAAAACTTTCACAATCACTTACTGCTGTTATTTTAATCAATGATCCTGCACACATCGCTACAGCATTGATTTAAAAAAATGGCACTTCTCTTTAAGTAATAGCAAGTGCCCTTTTACCGATTCCTTCTTTTTATCCTCACGTGTACGCCATTCATCTGCTTTTACTCTCTCATTATTGTAACTAAGCTCGTACAATACTCAGCTACTCTAGAAAAAAACCAAGTCTATAAAAAAGAAAATACATAAAATGTAAAAATGAAGGTCCGGAACACTAGTCGCACGTATTTCTGAACCCCATGATTGAAACGTTCCGGAAGTCTCACGAGGGGAATCGATGAAGCTTCATGTAGTTTACGAAGAGATCATTTTGTGTAACTTGTGTCGATCAGCTGTACTGTTCTGTTTTCATGGTAGGGTCCCGTAGTTACTTTCCGCAGTGTTCAACTTCACAGGAAGGTTGCACATCGAGCAGGGAAAATATTATTTCTTGCTTCCTTATTAATTGAGAACATCGCAGTCACCATGTATATTCACTCTTTGAGGCTCCTTTTTTTTTTTACACTGCTGTGGAAATTCATAGCGTCAAACTATTGTCTTTGAAGGATACCAAGAGTTTCGGTACGGTCTTTTGTACTAGCTCGAGAGTTGGTCAGTGTGCGTAGTACTGATTTCATGGCAGCACCGAGTACTGTCAAATTATTATGCACATTATTGTTTGCGCCGTCACTCGCGACAAATCCTAGTTTGTGAATAATAGCATTCTTACAAAATCTCGAAAGTTTTAAACTTTCTTATTTTAGGCAACGTCTGCATTGGATGGACCGGTATCTCCATTGGCAATAGCGTTGGCTACAATCTCTTGATAGTACTCATCGAACACACTGCGATTGTGCGACACCAGTATGAGAAATTGCGCAGCAATTGCAGCAAGTTCCTCCTGCATTGCCGATAGCCCTGTAGGTATCTCTTGTGGAGCTGCCGACTGAGAGAGAATGATTTTCTGCAAGAACTGTCTGATCCTGGAGCCTGAAAAATGATATAATTCTCTTAGGTAAGAAAATTATCTAATATCCACCGTACAATCCCTTTTCACAAACAAAAATTGAAGTATCAAACTTTCTAACCTAACTTTACGTGCAATTGGTCCTGTAAGGAAATACCACCGTACCAGCGAACCATATTTAATGACGCAAACAAAAATTGAAGTATCAAACTTTCTAACCTAACTTTACTTGCAGTTGGTCCTGTAAGGAAATACCACCGTACCAGCGAACCATATTTAATGCTAATTCTAATAACGGGACATTTTCTATAGCCATGCCTACAAACCCTTTGATTACATACCGAAAGGTAAAAGCCTACCTATCAATTCCAGCAAAATTAGAGGTTTCACATTACAGGTAAATATACAGTTTGATAATTCTGATTCATCTGCCGATGTTATACTCACTGAGTATACGGCGCAGCTTGTGATTTGGGTCTTTCAGATCCAACATCTGGCCCTCGATCAGAGTTTCCAAATTTTCCAACAGTTCGGGAGTCTTGTATTCGGCAGGCACCATCGTCTTGATGTCAGACTTTACCTGTAATACGACGTTCTGCATAACCGTTTCTAGATCTCTGCAATCAGACGATAGGATCTTTAAAAACGACATTCGACCCTACAGGTTAATTGTGTCATAAATGGTATCAAAAATTATACAATACTGCCTGTAAAATAGATAGAAGCACATTTTCTCACTTTTCTATCGGCTACTTACCTATTAGAATGCACCGGCTCCAACAAGATAGCCACATGCTCCTTCAACGATTTTTTGAAGCTTGTCACGCTGAGCACAGGAGCACACAATAGGAGGATCGAGCCAATGATGCATGCCCTGCAGGTTTTGTCTCGTAGTTCCATGAGTCTACCTTGATCCAACATGAGAGTCTAAACAGAAAGGATTCTTCAGCACGATTAAATACCAGATTAACTCTTTGTTAATAAGTGAATAAGTAACGATAGATGTTAAGCAATACCTCTGCATCAGGAGTGAAGTCCCACTCGAGCAGATCCAAGTAAGCCTCCGCTAAAAGGCAATGAGTGATCTGCTTGATGGCATTGACATCCGAGGCAGAGACCGAAGCTATTTTCTCAGGGTCCAGATGCTTCAGCAACCACTTCCGAGTAAGATGTAGTCCATCGGTCTGCAGAGCCAGAAACTCCTTGAATTTGTCTCTCTCGTATTCGATACTGGACGCTACTATGCTAGGCCTCATCAGGGTTATAGTGAAATTCGCCAGGTCCATTCGCATAAGTTGTAGAGCCTCCATGATGCCTTTAAACGTGTCGATTACATTGGTCTTTCGTTTCAGTTCCAACAATTTCTCGTCCCTCACCGGAGCACACACTTTGCTCATAATCGAGATCACAAAGTTTGCGTAACTGTGGAAATCCAGAGTGCCCTGCTCTGCTTGCTGCTTAATCAATTTTACGTCCAGGACTTCCTTCATATTCTGACGAATTTTCTTGTGATGTGGCAGCACCAATTCGTCCAAAGACTGTAACGAACAAGTTGAAAGAATACGTTTATAGAAAATTATGGTATGAATCTGTAAGAAAGGTAACGCTCTAATTAATGGAGCGAGCTATTACATCGATAATATCCTTCAGCAGGATTAACGCTTGGCTGTAATTAGGAGGAGTTTCTGCTAATTGTTCCGCCAGAATATCCCAAAAGGCTTGGTGCATTATTTCCTTCACTTGTTTCTGAAGAACCGAGGTCCTGGTGTCCAATTGTTGCAGCTTGAAGTTCTTATCCAGAACTATTTCGTGGGCTAGGGCCATGTTCGTCATCCCTCTTGCAGCTCTGGTTATCTCCTCGAGAGATAGGAATTTTGGGGGAGTTGACGGTATTCCTTCAAAACTTGCACTTTCCGTTCGCTGCCTAAGAACATAGATAAAATCGGAAAATCAATTTATTCTTCTTCAATAGAAATGAAATAAAAGGTACAAATTTATGATTCCGATTGAGACAACTTACCTCTTTATGTTCTCATCGTTGTGTTCATTATCCGAGTGATTTTCCCTGTTTACCGAAGGACTAGCTTTGTTGGCTGTTGAATTCTGTTCATCTTCATTATCCATATCTGTCCGGTGGAAACAAGAAGTAATTAGTAGGATTGGATTATCATATATCATAAATAAATGTTTTCACTGTTTTAGACTTTCAGTGCCGTAACTGGACAATGGAAAAATTTCTATTAAGTAAACTAAATGTTCAGGATTACAAAGGACGCAATTCTTAATAAGCACTTTATAATCCATCCACGCAGGACTGAAAACGGACGGGCAAGGATCAACCTGCAGCTGACTGCCCACAACGGTGCAGGAAACGAGGTCGAACTTGGTCTATAAAAAGAACTCCCACATCTTGAAATCACTAAGGGCATTCTATGAAGACGGAACTTCTGCCGAAGGTGTCCCTACCAAATCAGTAATGTGGTACTCCATTTTTGGCAACCTGTTTCTGATTCACTTGTGCATATATATATATATATATCTGCATATGTATATATATATATATATCTGCATATATATATATATATATATATATATACACACCCCTGCACGTTTTAGCCAAACTAGGGAAAATTCTTTCTATTTGCAGGCACGCTTACGACAAAGAATTATAAAACAGTTTTCATATGAACAATTCAGATGTCCCACAGTCTGGGAAATACCTTCCACTTTCCTAAAAGGACTGCTCATCGAAACATAAGTTAAGTTCACATCGATTTGTTTGCAAACAAGCCTCTACCTCCCTGCGCCTTACCCTCTCCGCTACACTTGTATATATCCGAACTTCTAACACTCTCGTTCCGCCGAGAAGTCTAAAAATTAGCAGAACTTAATTCTCAAAACGTACATACATACATGTGTACAGAAAGTGAATCATTTTTCTCCTTTCCTGGGGCTCATATAACGGTGAAAAATTGACAGCAAACTCCGGCTTTCTTAGACTTCGTCCGAGACTTGCCAGCGGGGATTACCTTGTTCAGAAGTCGACGGGAATGTTTGAGGTTGGTTTGCGCTCCTCGGAGACCGCAATGCACTTCAAATTTACAGGTGATCGCACGAACAAAGGTATGTCGCACCTCTCTGCAGCAAGCTAGAGCGAGTCTGAACGAGTCGTCGTAGTTGGTCGTAATCGTCACAAGCGCAGGTACTGTTATCATTCGTGTTTATCACCGACACACTACACCACGCGCCGGGCAAATCGAGCACTACAGAATGAGAACCGCAGAGGAGATGTGCACCCAACCGTATTCCACTGTATTCCGAAATTAATTTACCATCAAATAAATCGATCTGTCCTTTTCCGATGCCGTGAAATAGACAAGGAAGAGCGTAACCTCAAAACGTACCGGCCAATGGGATCATAGAAACTTGGTCACGTGACCTAGGGAAAGATGGCGCCATGATGGCGCGCATTCAAACTGGTTCAAGCATCGATTCATATAACCTTCAAATGTATGTGAACATAATAAGTAAAATAATAAGGAGGTCAATTAAAGGAGGAATTTATTCGAGGATATTATGAGCTTGTAGGCTTGCGGCGTTATTTAGGTTAGGTGTTCGCGATAAGGAATGATTCATGTTCGTCTGCCTTGGATTCACCTGAAGGTCATCGCGATTTTCGTCCTTTTTTTGTTTCTCCCTAATAAGGAATTGACTTTTTCATGTGACGGAAGCACCGAAGATTTTGGAGATCGCTGGAACGCTTAGAATGACTGCTTAAAATGTTTCGCACGGCGACGTATCTGCATCAAACAGGAATCCTGAATCATAGGCTCGTCATTCCTGGTAACATGGTTTGATGAGACGATGACTTATATTATATTATGATGTAATCTATGAGTTATCGTTTCTTTATTAATTATTACGAGACTACTGGGAATATATAAGGTGAATGTATGTTGTCTATTGTAGCGCAATTCGTACGAAAATTGAAGCCTAAGAGAGTGCTGAGTACTTTAGAATGCAGTTGCGATACGACTCAGCCTTCGACTCGTCAAATCGTCCCACCGGGACCTTGTTTGATGGACACTGTGCCACTTCCTGAAATCTCTTGGCAACAGAAGTATGACGAAGACAACAAGAAGAATACGAGGCATTTAATCATCGGAGGAGGCTTCTTCTTCCTTACTCTCCTAATTGTGCGGAGCAAATGAATTCCTTTATAGAGATTTACATTTCAGATATCCTCCTTGATGCTCTTTGTTGAGATTTATGTATTTTAATCTCACTTCTTTATTTTACAGTTCAGACGCATGCCGGCGGTCAAAGGATACGAGATTTATATTTTCTGATCAAGCCTTGCAACACGGCAGGAGCTGTCGGATACATGAATAGTTATTAATTTTATAGGATTTTGTCATGTGTTTGAAATAGATTCTTCGAAAGTTATTAAATACCTATGTTCGTGAGATTGTTTTAATTTCTTCTAAGTCTTACATATGAATTGCGTTAACTTTCATTAATGGATTTGAACACATCTGCCTCTCGTTTGGTCGGGTGTTCATTCGAGAAGTCAAGAGACGACGTCATTGGCGGAGCAATCGAGTAATCGATTCGATTGGTCCACTTCGATAGCTCTGAAATCGAGCGTGCGCGCGCAACAGGACCCGGCACGCGCACGACCGCCATATTGCGTAAGGCCAGGACGGCCCGTCAAAAATGTTAAGTTGCGGGAAAGTTATCGGACAACTCACTAAAATTTCAAGGCACGGACAAACTGTTTGTCTCCATCGACCCCCGCAATGCGCCGGTGAGTAGAATCGTAAAATAATAATTATTTCTACACGAGAATCGGCTCTCGGGAACGCCTCGGTTGCCGATATTTATTAGCCATGAGTGCTCGTAAGATCGAACCTTTAATGCGTTATGTACTCCATTTTACGAGTTTTTAACTCCTCTTCATTAATTTCCTACGTGTTTTAATTACAATAATCTCTTACCAAGGTACAGACATGCAATTGAAATTCGCTTGATTTTACATAACCTATAAATGCTACTGCCTGCTCATGTGCTATACCAGTGGAAACTTTATGTTTTAGGTTTCATTAGTTTCAATAGTTTATTATACAGTGACGATGCGAAAGACAAGAAGCCGTACAGACCACCCGGCACCACGGTCAAAGTAGAGGAATGTCTTCCTGGGTCTACGTATCAAAATTCAAAAGCCACTCCAACTCCACCTAAAATTAGTCGGCCTGTCTGTGAAGTCCGTCCCGATGGGTTATGTCCACCGTCGTGTTATGAAGAATGTAATCCTGGTGGACAGGGTGGTATACCTCCATGTAGAGAACCTCTACTGGGAGAGGAACAAAGGAAACAGTTACGATACTGGGCTAAAGTTCTAGCTGCAGTTTTTGTGGCTGGAGCAACTGCATTTACGGTATGATTTATTAAACATGTTACGAGTGTATACTAAGGTATAGGCAAACCTAAAGAAGAGATTGTTTGTAGTTATCTCGCTTGAAACTATCCGATGATAAGGTAGTCAAAGAGGCTCCAAAAAAAGGTAAGTTTATTTGGGTAGATCTTTTCTCAAGTTAAACATTGTCGTGTGTTTATTTATATTTTTATGTTCGCAGAGGAGAAAGATAAAACATGGCGTGGAAGGCAAACGGTAAAAGTCCCAGATAATTCTCAAGACATACCAAAGAACATCCCGTATTTGTTAGTTGGTGGAGGAACGGCAGCATTTTCTGCATTTAGGTCTATTAAAACTAGGGATCCAAAAGCCAAGGTATATTTCTATATTTTAAATGTTTAGAAGAGGAATTAGATCGCTTTTATCTATTTTATTAAATCAAACATCTGTTAGGTTTTAGTGATAACGGAGGAAGGTGATCTTCCGTACATGCGGCCACCCTTGTCGAAAGAACTTTGGTATAACACGGACAGAAGTATAACTGCACAATTAAATTTTAAACAATGGAATGGCACTCAAAGAAGGTGATGAACACTTCTAAATAATCGCATTTAAAAATAAGGTGTATCAATGTAAAACAGGTTTTGCCTAATATTCTAATCGATACTTTTGCTTCGACAGTTTGTTTTATGAACCTCCGGAATTCTATGCAAACGTCCCAGATATCGCGGAGTCTGAAAAGGGTGGCGTTGCCGTGGCCAGAGGATGGAAAGTAAAAAAAATCGATGTAGAAAAAAAAGTCGCTGTGTTGGAGAACGGTTACGAGATTCATTATGAGAAGTGTCTCTTAGCGACAGGTTTATTTCCATTTATCTTCCGTTATAACAACTTATTAGCAATCCAACAAGATCAATCTTCGCAGGAGCTACGCCGAAGAACCTTCCTATTTTCGAAACTGCAGAGGATGACGTGAAAAAAAGAGTTATACCATTCAGAACAACGGATGACTTCCTGGAGTTGGAAAATAACATTCACGATCCGCATGTGAAGAATATTGTCATCATTGGCGGCGGATTTTTGGGGTCTGAACTTGCGTGTTCCCTCGCTCGAAATTGTAGGTACAACTCCATTTATGTCGATCTAAGGAAATTCTTGCACTCAACAGATCGTTCAACGTTAATTAATAAAACACTTGTTCGATGTAGATAGAGAAAACAAGAGAGTGTATCAAGTGTACAAAGAGAAGTTCATTATGGCTCAAGTTCTGCCGGAGTATCTAAGTGAGTGGACTACGAAGAGGGTGGTCGCAGAAGGTGTTCAGTGTATACCCAACTCCGAAGTCGAAGATCTCGAGTTGAAGAACGGAAAGCTAACTCTCTTCTTGACAAGTCAAAATGCTGTATGTATATTTAAAAATACAAGGTGAGGATCGGAATCTGATGTCTGGTTTTAACTTATATTCTGGACTTGACAGATCCAAGCTGACCAGGTCATAGTGGCAGTTGGTGCCGAGGCCAATACACAGTTGGCAGGCCCCTCCGATCTAGAAGTCGATCCTGATGTCGGAGGTTTCCTCGTCAATGCAGAATTAGAAGCGAGAAGTGATCTTTGGATAGCAGGGGATGCAGCATGCTTCTACGATGTCAGACTTGGCAGAAGAAGAGTAGAACATCACGATCACGCTGTCATATCCGGCAGACTCGCTGGTGAAAACATGACAGGCGCCAGTAAGTGGGTTCAGGCATCGGTCTCTAGAGATTTCTTAAGAATTAATAAATATATGCAGTTATAATCTGATATTCCTCTTTTTTTTTTTTTTTCTTTAATAGGAAAGCCTTATATTCATCAGTCCATGTTTTGGTCGGATCTTGGACCAGAGGTTGGCTATGAAGCCATAGGAATAGTGGACTCTTCGCTGCCGACAGTCGGAGTGTTTGCAAAAGCAACGGATGTAGACACACCACTTGCTGCGGTTAGTGCCTCCGATGAGTCCCTCAGGTCTAAAAGCGAAGAGGTTAGTCCAATGTCTTTTTACATAGTGAATCTGTTTTATGTAATCCTCACCGATGTCCAATTTTATTGTCAATTGGTGTTCAGTTTACAACATATTAATATTGCAAGCTGAACATCAATAGATAAAAACCAATATTAATGTTTCGCTTTATAACTTAGGATGTTGCATCAGGGAAAAGTCAGCCAAAGTTGAAAGCGGAGCTGATGACCCAAGAAATCCCCGAGGCTTTCCAGGAAAAGTGTGATACCGACAAGGATCCGGAGAAAGAAATGAAAGTGAAGGACTTTGGAAAGGGAGTGGTCTTCTATCTAAAGAATGACATCGTCGTAGGCATCGTTCTATGGAATATTTTCAACCGAATGTCTATTGCTCGACAGGTGTGTCAAAATGATCGATGACTGTCAGAAATCATGTAAAGCGTTGGTTCCATGTTTAACGTTTACTTTAATCCCAGGTTCTTGCTAGAGGAGCACAATACGACGATCTGAATGATGTGGCGAAGTTGTTCACCATCCACGATGATTGAAAGCAGCCATGGTGTCAAAGTGTGGGCATCGATATCACTGGATGACTATTTTGTAAATATTCCAACTGTCAGTCGGGTAATTGCCAGGCTCCACGATAACTCGTGGGAATCCTAAACAGCATTCGACGAGTCGTAGGAAATATAAAGTAGTACAAATGACGTACTGTACCCAGGCCACGGTGTACAGACGTCACGGTTAACAGTGCGAGTGTTGTTCGGTGCAGCTTGGGTTTGCGATGAGTATCAGAGGGTGGGCACATGTGAAGTGTAACAAAATAAAGGCAAAAGGTAGAAACAGTGTCAACGAGTCGGAGCAGGAGGCGAGTGACAGTTGCCAAGGAAAACAGGTATGTCTTTAAGTAATAGACTCAATGGATTATGAATACAACGCACCGATGTATTATAGAACACTCGCAGATCACGTTACTATGATTCCCAGCAACACCTCTTTTCTACATACGTGTACATATAGAGTGATCTGTTAAATGTATTCCTTCTGTTCCAATTTTTTATTGAACATAAATGATGCCGAAGCACTGGCGATTGGCTGTGGGAACTGGTGTTTCTTTTTCCGTGCCCTGCGATTGCCTAGAATAAAGAAATGGTGATAACTTCGTATATTGAAAAGTAGAAGGGAGGTATTTCAATGATTTGGTTTTACTTTCTTACCCAAAGTTTGTTATCGGGACCAATTTCATTGATAAACCATTATCATAACTGCTCCCAGTGATCCATAAATTATCATTCGTTACTCCGAAACGTCCAAATGTCGTTGGGATAGAATTGGCAAGACTTTATTCCTATGCCTTTTACACAAACGATCCATGAAAAGGATTTGTTCGTGACAGTGGTACTCCTCGAGATTCTATTATAGAGATTTCATACATATTTCCAAGTATTAAATTCAGCTCTTCGTTAGTTATTAACTTTGTGTTACGATGGTGGCTATAAGCTTACCATATGTTCCGGCCACATCTGACCATCTGTGGTATTTTGTAACATGGTACGCTGGCAGTGGTGAAGTAGGGAAGCGCAATAATAGAGTACGTAATCCGATGGATATAATATACAAATGCTAAGAAAGTGTAGGATCTCTGTCCAGGACAGTACTCCCCAGAAGCATTGTGACAATAGCCTGTCGCAGACCATCCACCAGTCCAATCCTAAATCATTCTGTGAAATGTCGCAATTTTGATTAGTATCTCGTACTATCTCTGGTACTATCACTTTTTAAGTACTTTTTGCTGTACCTTTAAGTTGTGTCTAACAGCAGGGAACTCGGTGCTTACGATGCTTCTCAAAAGGTGTATCAAGACAAACCGAGTGCTAGCCTCTGCGACATTCTTTTGGTCCACTGTTCGACCCAGTGCTTGCCATACAAAGACTGCCGATGGGCATCGAATGAGTCGTGTCACGAATACTTTGCATCTAGAAATATTAGGATTAATACTTTATTTAAAGTCGCAATAATCTCTCATCGACTCGGTCAATGATGAAGAAATCAGTCCGATCAATCGAGTTATCACTCGTTACTGACTATGACGACTAAGTTTTCAACCTGAGGCTTAGCCGATGATGAGACTCTGGTTAGCTCGAGTCATCCTTGACCTCCAGATCCTCAGACGGATAGTTTTCCTTATCTGACGTTTCTTTCGAATCTAGGTTAGGAGAACTCATCAAAGAGAATCTGCGATGGAAAGTGGACTCGCAACCAGCTGAGGCATTTCAATTTAAACAAGGAATTACGTACTTTTCCATGTTTCCAGTGCAGATCATGAAGATCGTCGCTAGGAACCAGTCGAAGCTCTCGAATTTCTTCGGTGCTTCGTATTTTATAAAACTGTGGGCACTTCTTATGAATACTTTCAATTCCTTCTTCGCCTGTGGTGTGTTTTCCAGAGTTCCATTTAGCTCTGCATAATGCAAAGCCAAGTCAATGCCGTGTAATTCTTCAGGAAAGAAAAAATCCTTTTCGCAGTCGTCGATGTCTGGCCACTTATAGTCGTCTACCCACTCCGATGTAGGGATGACATTCTGTATCTGATCCAGCAACCCAATCAGTGTTGAATTCTAGGATGGAGAGTAAAATGAAACAGACGTATGCTTAATGAATTCCAAATAAATTACCTTTACTGGACCCAATGAGTTCTTATGTGCTTTCCTGACTTCCGATATCCAACCACTGTCACGTAAGCCAGGCTTACTTTTCTGAAGAATTAAATCAAGCTCCGAAGAAGATGCTGCTTCGGCATCGTCTAATGTTTCTAAGCATTTCTGTGACGGAGGAAACTGTGAAAACAATTCATACTGCTCCTGATTCTTCGTACACTCATCGTGCAGGTTTCTAACGTAGTAAGAGCGCAGGAGAATTTCGTGACGCAAAGAACTGCATTCATCGATGACAAAGCCAAGCTTTATGTTACCATCCTCTTCGGTCTCCCAAGTACAATTCTTCTGAAGAGTTAATAGTTCACTCTGGAAGGTATAAATTATTTAAATAAAGTTATAATTCAAATATAACCCAAAATAAACGAGGGAACAATTGTATTACCTGAAAATCGAGCATATTTTCCAAGTAGATGTGAATGTCCAAGTTCCAAATGACTTCGTTCAGGGTTCGAAGAGCCAGGTAATGATAAGTCGAGTCAAAATCCAGAGAATGTTGCAAAAGCTGGAACAAATCTTTGGGATACTCGGTCTCATCGCTGTCCCCAGAGTTCACAAGAAATGCCATGAAACCTGCCAGATAAGCATTTTACAAAGAGAGGTTAGGATACGACAGGATTCTTGCCAATCGACAGAATTAATTTCTAGCTTTAACACTAAACCTACCGACGATTTATATCCCCATTACAAATACCATTTAAACCTGTCATTTTACCCACCGGTGGTAGGTTTAGTGTTTTAAACCATTTCAAATCATGTAAATACTTACATTTAGTGTTGAGGGAGAGCAAACTAACTATATGTAGGAACTTCATGACGTGAGGATCATTCCATGGATCGTAGAACTGATGAGGATCTTCCAGAATTGTACGCAGATCGGTCAGTAGTGTCGACATGGCCTGCGGTGCCAGATCGGAGAGTACTTGGAACCCTGTTTTGAAGAATGCAGCGGAGGCCACGAAGCCAATAATGTCATTAGAACTCCAGGAGGATCTTAACGGTACGATGGAGCTTCGGATCAGTTCTTCGAACACTAGTGGTTCAGTGGATAACATGTACAGGCCAATAGGGATGGAGCTTATCTTCAGTAATATTCTCCTTGTTGCACTGTAAATAAATCCTGAGTGTACTGGGTAGTGTTAAAAGATTCTGTATAAATTTAATAAATTATACCTATGAAGACTCTGCATCTTAGTCTCATTCTTGATACAGTACTTGTTCATTTTATTATACAGATACGTCACAGCAGGGAAAAAGTGACGTTTCAACGACTCTTGCAAGACATCGAAGACATCGTATGCCTCGAACAAGTTTTCCAGGAATTTGAAGAGACCGATGACACATTCGACATCCATGACAGAGAAAGGCTGGTGAAGTAAATTCGACGTATGTTCCAAAATGGCAACGGCTGGGGAGCTGGTGATCTGCTCAACACTAGCAGACCCTACTCGATACTCAGAAATTATGAACCAGAGACCATCGACAGTTGTTAAAGTGTGCATCATGACATCCAACGTGTGTGGCCACAGTTTTGGTTCTGTTTCGGTGCAACGAATTAATGGACTGAGGGCAACGTGGTAGAATCTGCTATCGAAGAGGACCGTTGGCTTATCCAAAACGTGTCGCAGTGCTGCTCGACACGCTTCGTATATTCCCTTTGGTGTCTCCGATGAAGCCAAGTGGTTCAGAGAACTCAGCGAAGCTATTAGAAATTCAGAAGGGGAGAAAGAAACATCCAGCTGGCTCTCTGAAAGTAATTCTTGACCTGCTGCGTTACCGCAAAGCTGCGAAAGGAATGTCAGGCAGTGGATGTAAGTCATGGCTTCGACGGTGTCTCCAGAGATGTACGCTTCCGATGGTTCGTCCTGGATAGACAGCGATACCGATAATGGAGGCTTTGTAAGTCCACTTTGAGCAAGCAGAATCATCTGTCGCAGCAGGTTTGGAGACTTGTTCAGTGCTGAGATGAGAGGTCTCCTCGTGGCCAAGCCATGTATCCACTTTCTGCTCCACTTTGCTTGGGGCTCGAGCACCGAAACTATATTAAGAGGGGTCAGAGTCCTAGTTTGGATTGAAATCAATGGTACACTGGTCTGCGAGCCTAGGAACGTCACAAATTGATCAATTGTTTCCTCGATAGTCTTATCGATGCCCCTTATGGTCTTCAGAATCTCCTCTTGGTAACGAACAATCAGATGCACGATGCGAAACAACTTTTCGTGCTGGAAGATTTTTAAGTTAATACCAGACGTGACAGTTGGCAGGGCGTCGTGCAGTTTCTTCGAGTGGTACTGAGCTTTGAAAGCTGTTAACAGATTTGCGCAAGTCTCGTGGGAGTGTGGACCATTTAGGAGTTTCGCGTGCACCTAAGAAGAGAAAACAGGAAACATTTTGAGGAAATTCTGAAAATATTATATACATGCAGAAACTTGGCGATCTAACCTGCAAACTGGCCTCGAAGATGGGTCGGCTGGTGTCTGCGATGCCATCACGCAGTGTTTTCAGCAGCACTTCCCACAAGTCGGTACTGCCTATGCCACTCGGGTCACTCTTTAATAACGCTTCGTACCCAGCAAGCCTCACGTGAACTGGTTTATCGTAATCGATCTTGGCAAAGATGTAACTATATCGATCGGTATGATTCTTCAGAGGACACCAGTCGTCTCCAGAGAGATCGCTGCCAATGGACACCGAAGACTGAGGCTGGAACTCGCAAGACATTTCAGAGCGAGATCTTGATACCCCGTGCTCTGCGAAAGCTGCTTTTGTTGAGTTCAGAAGTGCTGCCATGTATTTTGAGTTTATCACTCGCTGAGCGATCTCCTGAGGCTCTTCTTTGGCCTCCAGTCCTTCCTCGATGACTCCTTCGAATTCCTCCTTCAGGCGCTTTTTCGCCCATCTTCGAAAGGTCTGCGGTACCTCCATGATCAACCAAAATGTAAACCAAAATGTCAAAATCAGAAATGGTTTTTCTCTTGTATATGGCAACCTGCGATTCACAGCACGTTGTAGAATTTACAATCGAAGTCGTGAATAAATCTCTTGAACGAATCTATCTGCGAAATACTCGCCATGTTATTATTTTTAAATTCTAACCTTAACATTTGCTTTGACACTTCTCACTTGGAACATTCTGCGTCTCAGACATTTTCTCATGCTAGGGAAATGTTTGGCCCTACGTTGCCAAGGCAACGGTTGGATCTTTCCCCTTCGTCAATACACTATCGCAAGCTCTACATGGCAGAAGTCTACATTTAAGATAGCCAAAGAAAAAGTATTAATCAAAGGAGATTTCATTATTGTAGGTAATACTATAGTACATGACACGATCGACACAGACGTAATTATTATACTCGTGTTCATTATGAATATAAATACATATATAACGTAGTAAAATTAAAAAAGAGTCCTTGCGAATGTACAGGTTAAGGGACTGATTCCTTCACGGTGCAGGAACCAGAATGCTCGGAGAGTTGGATCGCAGAGTGCAGATTCCTCCATGTAAGGAGCACACACCCCTGACTCCGCAGTTTATCAAGAAATCTGCAAACTGTGAAAAATAATATCAGTGCACATTTCTATTTTACAGAGAGGACTGCGTGAGTGATCGAAAAGTCATTACCAGGGTGTTGTTCTGGTCGTGCGGTCCGACGATCACCACGATTTTGTCTTTATTATCTTTGAGGGGTTTGGCTTGCGGACCAAGAGTCTCGATGTGGGTGTACGATAGCTGAACACTCGTGAATGGAATGTTAATGCTTCCTGCTACGCCACCTCTCTCAAATCTATGCATAAAAAGTCTGTGAAATTTATGCCACAGTTTCAAGTGATTTAAGATGAAGTGAAACCCCCTTCAAATCAGTCGATTCGAATACAATACTTTTTTTTAAGGGTATTGGACCAAACTGTCCGAAACTTTGACACATGACTCGGGATTATCTAACAAGGAAACATTCCCAAGTGTCCGCCCCCGATCTTATTGATTTCCATATATGTTGAAGAACCCATAAATCTAAGAGACACGTGTTTTTTATATCTGCAATGGTCCACATTTAAGGGGTGAAACAACCCCCCAAAGTTTGGCGAAAATTCAGTTTTTATAATAATTTTCGTAGAAGCAGTGGAGGGATTTCGACGAAACTTGGCATAAACGTATTTCGTATAAGGACGGTGAAAACACAATATTGTCCAGCAATGTTACACCCCCCCAAGGGGGCGAACTACCCTTCAGGCGACATTTTTTTCTAATATCTAATAAACGAGCACTCCTACTTACGTTCCACTTACCCGATGTGCTTGCTCACAAAAATGAAGAATCCGTGTTTCTTGCTTTTTACCAATAAACATTTACACATCGGTTGTAAACAATGAATGTAGGTGGTATACGGGTATATTCCAAGTAGCTTTATTGGGTTATATCGTGACCAATTCATTGTATATAAATCTTGTGAACGTGCTAATTCCTCAAAATGTCGGTTTTCATAATATGCAATTATTTACGAATATCGCTAACTCTATTATCGTAAAAACGGTAGAAATCCAATTTTACCGTTTCACCAAGGAGATTGTATTACCAGTTGGAAACGGGTGATGACTGCGTCATCGGATCTGTTGCGACACTATTTTAGTCTCTTAAACTTTTTTCAATTTTATTTATAAATAATTGCATGCTATGAAAACCAAGGACATTTTGAGGAATAAGCACGTTCACAAGATTTATGTACAATGAATTGGTCACGATATAATCCAATATAGCTAGTCGAAATATACCCGTATACCACCTACATTCATTGTTTACAACCGATGTATAAATGTTTATTGGCAAAAAGCAAAAAACACGTATTTCTTTATTTTTTGTGAGCAATCACATCGCGTAAGTGGGACTTAAGTAGGAATGCTCGTTTAATAGATATTACAAAAAAATGTCGCTTGAAGGGTAGTTCACCTCCTTGGGGGGGGGTGTAGCATTGCTGAACAATATTGTGTTTTCACTGTCCTTATACGGAATACGTTTATACCAAGTTTCGTCGAAATCCCTCCATATTGCTTCTACGAAAATTGTTATAAAAATCGAATTTTCGCCAAACTTTGGGGGGTTGTTTCACCCCTTAACACGTTCCCTGCCGCGTGGGGCGTATACGCCCCACGGTCTATTTACGACAGCGTACTCGTCATTTGTTTCGGCAGGGAACGTGTTAAATGTGGATCATTGCAGATATAAAAAAAACACGTATCTCTTAGATTTTTGTGTTTTCCACATATATGAAAATCAATAAGATCGGGGGCGGACACTTGGGAATGTTTCCTTGTAAGAATTGTCCTGACACATTTAAAATTTGGATTTTTGGAAAAAATAGTCTAACTTGGCCCAGACCAGAATCAAAATGGCGTCGAGCTCTCATATTTCGATCAATCTACAATTATCGAAGGCTCCGATATGAGAAACGAAAGAGTTAAGGCAATTTTATGACAATTTAGAACACTCTGGTAATCGATAAACTCGCATTTGAACGGGATAAAGGCAAAAAAAGTGTTTTATGCGGTTCTGTGCTAAGACGACGGGAATACGAGGTCTCGGAGGGAAAATTTAATTAACCTGGAAATCACAGATGGCGCAGGGGGTCCCTCTGCAGTCAATTGGGGCCCCAGAAAGCATGAATCCAGAGGATTTCTGGAGTTTTACTTCGATCTCTTTATGATTAATGTACGAAAACGACAGGTGGAGTATACCATTTAGGACAATACCCAATATAATTTGACCCAGCTGTCAATATAAAAATGAGCGTCGTCAACGTAGGTATTTAGAAGATTTTTTTACCGACGTCGATTAAGTTTCTCGACTTGTTTCACTTCACCTTAAATAATTAAAAATACATACTGTATGTTGTTACGTATGTCAACTACAATGACGCTGTCAGGATTGCTATTCAAGACTTGCAAAAAATCTTCGATACTGATTCGAGGCATCTTTTCAGTCCCAGGCTCGTGTTCCAGCCAGTTGATCGCCTGCGTGGTTGTAAAACAGTTATTAAAAGGTAGATCAAATGAAATTTGTAATGTAGTATAATCGGAGAAAATCCTAGCTTCGTACCTTGGATTGATCGAACTGGTGCTTTCGATATGCGATGCTTCCAGGAGTCTTTTGATACATCGTCATGGAGTCCTTGACGCAGAGTTCTATGTCTATTTCGGGAAGATCAGAGAAGAGTAGAATGCATTCGTTGAAACCAGACGTCAATAAAGAGTCTCGTAGTTGCCTCAGAATTGCTAGGCCGACGAAAAGGGGGAACGAGGAATCTCCTAAGAGAAGCTTGTCCCATAAGTGGAGTATCTTGTGAAGCGGAAACACATCTGTCAAGTAGATCCTTAATTTGAGTACAAATTGACATTGTTTACAGTATGTTGTAATTGTAATGTACAAGTATCAATTGAGAGTACTCACGTGAAAACATAGTTAGGAACCATGGTATGGCGAATAGCTCAGGAACGAAGTTTATGGACTTCAGATGATTGGCTAATTGTGGATCGTGGAAGGCAATGATTTGAGAGAATTTCCCTAAATATTCTTGAATAACAGCAGAGTTGTCCTTTAGGAAGAATTTGTGCAGATATTTGGGAATGAATTCCGAAAGGCAAGCGAAGGCACGAGCTGAAAAATTGCGCATTAAGAATGTGCTGCCTTACATATGACTTAATATGGTTTGTAGGTTAGAACCTTCGTTATTAAAGTTGAGATAAAGGAATGGAGCTGTGAGCGAATCAAGACCTTGCCAATATACATAATGTGGATTGTCTCTGACCCAGGCTTTCAGCAGTCTTTGTAATCTTTCGTGTCCAGCACCTGATGACAGTAGTTCGCTGTACTGATGACATCTTGGGATGTCGACTTCGATCTAAGTAAAAATAGATCTACGATGATAATTGTAATAAAACAGAGCAAATGTAATAGTATTATAGGATGTGCGAAGAGAACCTGTCTGTCGGTGTGTGTTGGAGTTTCCTTATCGATCATCTCGTATCGTCTTTGAATGTCACCCTTGACTCCGAGCAACGCAGCCCATACTGCACCTCGCACCGGTGGAGGGATATCCTTATGAGCTTCTCTTATAATTGCCTTTCTTGAAATTGGGTAAACCTAGAAAGAACTAATTATAGAATTATAAGAGAGAAAGGAAACTGACGTTTCATCTAAATACCTGTAATAATCTGTCGTAGAGAACAATCCTGTAAAATTGGTACTCGGTATCTCTCTCTCGGATGATTAGAGGCAGCTTAGAAGCTGCATTATTTATGTCATCTTGTGGGTGTACTTCCATTCTACAGAAAAAGAGCATTAATTACTATTCATTTCGCTGGATATTAAACTATGTTTGTATTAATTATGTAGGTGCACATACTGATTTGTCAATCTAGGGTAATTTGCTATGTATGGTATGTGAGACAATCGTTGCTTCAATGTATCGAGAGAAACTTTTACTACTCTTAGGTCAAGTAAACCAGCCGTGTCTCGACGTCCAAACATCTGGCCCAACAGTATTACTAAACTAAACAATAAAATTTCAAACTAATTGTATTAATTGAATCGATTAAGGAAAATGTAATTCCATTGTTCCACGGTTCTTGTTACTTTGGTATCGACAGAATGGGTGGTCTTGACCTAATGAGCCCTTGTTTCTTTAATTCAATCGTTATGTCTCCCCCGGCTAGCTGCCAAAGATAATAGAGTTCATCCATTTTCCTCACAATGACATGTTTATATAAGTTAGCTTCTTTCTCCTTTGCATCCTTCTTCAAAAAGTTTTCAAATAATGGCAATTGCAGCAATTCGTCCACGGTGCTACGTTTTGATGGATGTATTTGAAGGCAGGCATTTACGAAGTCTTTTATGTCTTGCGATAAAGCCTATTTCAATTAATTGTATTTATGTAATATTACACAGTTGATAAGTATTAGAATGAACATTTGAAAGCGAACTTACTTGATACGTTTCAAAGCAATTATTTTCCCTGGCCAACCGTTCAAAAATGGTTGTTTCCGAATGTAGGAGACTCAGAACCTTTCTCAAACACTGCGACAACTTAATACCTGGCCATATAGGACGCTTCAAAAGGCATTCTGCAATTATTATACCCAATGACCAAGAATCAACCTTAATGCCACTTACTCCGGTACTAAGAAATACTTCTGGTGCAGTATATTTTGGATAACTGGAATCATAAAATCAAGCAAGGTAGACGTTTAGTACAAGAAGGACTTAATTAAAATTCAATAAAAGTTACCTGATAGGGAACGATACGTTTCTCCCACTGTCTGTCATATAATATAAACCATAATTGTAGAGCTGAACATTTCCGTCCTTTTTAATTAGAATATTGTCTGGACTCAGATGTCGATGAACGAGACCCAACTCGTGCATATGCTGTAAGCCAAGGAGACATTGATATGCAATTCTCACGACTTCCTCGGATGGCAAAGCGTCCTTACTCCTCAACGTTACACCACTGTATTCTGCGACTACCACGGTTCTCTCTAAGAACAGGAAACATGTATGATTCAGGACTTACAAGTTGGACTACTAACGTAAGTTTTATCGACATTACCATGCTTGCTTCTGATGATGTCCAGGTAAGTCGAGAGATTAGGATGAGCAATCGTATTTAAAAACTGAGACTTTCCATATATGGTTATCGAGTTTGGAGTTAAAGGGAGTCCATTGCTGCCGCAGAGTTCTATGGGATGGCTCTGCGCAAAGAAAGTCATCCCACCGAGACACCGTTCCTCATTTGCCAGCAACGCAGGGGACATTTTGCCTGAAAATAAAATTTAGCATAAACTGAAAGAAAAGACGACATCAAAATTATATCATTCTGTTAAGTGTGCAACCTACCAATACTTTGAGTTATGGTTTCGATCGACTTAAAATAGTTGAATTTTTTAAACTAGGAATTCACTCACTCTCCCAGCCCGTCTTCTTTTAAGAAATGTTTAAATTGACATTTAACAGATTTCAGATCACCACGAATTGACATGACACTGGGCGAACAGCTGATTACCCCCGATCATCCCTTAAATTTTGCTTACCAGCTGCGCATAAATTAGCACAGATTGGTCGTTCTGCGCAGGCTCCAACGGAAATACCCAATCAGATGCGAGAATGAGTAATTTTGGCGACGCATACATACACACACAACTCTCTGATATACATATTTACACATGTCGCACTAAACATTCTTATCAAGTCGAGCAAACGACCCAATACCCTTGTTATCGATAATCTAACCAAGAAAGGAATTATTTAACGTAAGGAAAAGAAAAGAGTGAAGAACATTCTCGTCGGATTCGAGTAGTTCGGTAAATTTGGTGCACCACAAGGAGGCCGCGAATACCACGAGTTCGCGCGAGTTTGTCATCTATCGCGCTTCTAGCCCGTGCCCAGTGGCCTTGATAGAGAACATCTGATTCCCGAGACCCAGTGTACTTAATTAATATAAATCATCGGGGCATATATGAAATAATCCTCGGAGGCATCTCATTCGACTGGCTTAATGGAGCTGACAATATTAGATCGGCGCACCTTCGCGAACCCGCCGCCCTCGTAATCGCCGTAGATGCGGAAGGGAGGTCACTCTCCCTCGAGCCTACGTCGTCGCGCCTAACCCCGGTGTCCCGACAGTCGGTTAACCTTGAATGCTCGCGATCGCGAGTCGACGTCGAAGGTGACAGGGCGGCCCGCGAGGAGCTCTCTCAGGATCGATTCTCACATCGCGGCGGCCGCGTGAGGTATCAGCGGGGAGGTGGAGAGCTAACCTAAAATGCGAGCACCCGTGAACGCCGACGTGACACTGCTGATCGGCCTGCAGCTCCTCTCCTGGTGTTGCCGCGGGATCCTTGCCAGCGGCGGAGCCCTCGACGTCACCGGCTTCCAGTCTGGCTCCTCCGGTGCCTCCAAAATTCCTGCCTTCTCCTCCAGCCTCACCGATGGCTTGGCTCAAGCGGTCGCGCACGAGGCTGGTAACATCCTTTCGACAATACGAAGCCCCGTTGGCCCACTCCGAGGCTCTGCTTTCCAGCCCTGCATGTCGAGGGCTTGAAACGATTTATTATACAGATTTTAAAATATCGTTCCTTATGCATATGGCTAGCCGTACGACTTGTCCGCTAGTTACGTCCACTGTTATGTTTGAAAGCAAAAAGCGATGTACTTGTTTTTGTCGGATCCCTTCGGTTTGATTGTACGGTTACGTATGAAACTTCTGCGATAGATGAGATTATAGTCGGGATAGATCGTTTAGGTGCAATGGTTCTTGCTAAATATTGTGCGGATGAAGTACGGTGAATATCGTGATTGGCATATAGATACATAAAGACATGTTTCCTTTAGTTAGGATATGTATAATCCGGATACGTTTGGTCGATACTAGCGGAACGGTCGATAAGCAAACTGCAAACCGAAGTGGATGTCGCAAACCAGTTCAGATGAATCGGAATTTAATTAAAAGGTGAATCGATCGATGCAATCGATGCACATGTAGTGACAACAAAGAAAGATAATTAGCAGATATTACCAGAGAAAATCGCATTAAGATTACTATCTTTGAATTGCTATTGGCCCATTAGATGCAGAAAGATTATGTATAAGTGGAGTTCTATTTTTGTTCGATAGGGATATAGTATAGTATTGGTAATGATGAGACGATACTCGAGGCGGTAATTATTCCACAAATAACATGATTCTGGGAGCAAGTAACAAGAGTGTGGATCCTCTCGAGTAATGTCAAATCATAAGATAAGTTTAACTATTCATTTCCAATCATTTCACACTTAAAAATTCACATAAGAGGAATTGGAAATGGTTACTTCTTCACGCTAATTGATATCAACATTAGTTAAAACATCTCTTTACCGGTTCTAGGTACAGAAACTTGTAACGACGACTTAGCTTGCCTCACGATGGCCTCCCAAGATCGTCTCGGACTGGAAGCCATTAAGTCACTCCATAGTCAACTCGATGACGATGCTAATGGAAACATAGATCTCTCGGAGTCTGATGATGTAAGCATAGTATTTAATACCAGAGAATGTAATTTTATTCTCTTTACACGTTTTATTTAGTACATCCCGATGACTTTATTCTGTGTGATACTCTCTTTACAGTTCTTACGAGAAGAATTACAATACGAGGCTGGCTACGAGAGGAGACAGCGAGCGTTCCATCACAATGACGATATGCACATCAGCGTGCGAGAGCTGTGGGAAGCCTGGCTGCGCTCCGAGGTGCACAATTGGACCATTGAGCAAACATCCGAATGGCTGACCAGCAACGTCGATCTGCCCCAATATGTTCCCACATTCATACAACATCGGGTGACGGGTGCTACGCTCCCCAGGTAACCTCTCGACATAGGTTATGTTAGCCCAAGGATCTCTAACGTCATTCTTTGGTGTTCAGGTTGGCAGTGAACAACATGCATTACTTAAGCAACGTGTTAGGAATCAAGGACCCAATCCACAAACAGAAGATTGCCCTGAAGGCTATGGACGTGGTATTGTTCGGCCCTCCGAAAGGTAACCTTAAAGATAGCCGTTCGACATGTATCTTTGTCGCCCTGGAAGAGTGTGATCGTGAACTCTAAAATTGCCAGACACGGGCCACAGTGTCAAGGACCTCGTACTGATCACTCTGCTGTTCGGAGCCCTCATTGGTTGCTGGTACGCCTACCAACAGAAGAAGAATTCTCAAAAACACCTCCACAGGATGATGAAAGACATGGAGAGCCTGCACAAGGCCGAGCTTGCCCTCGAGGATCTGCAGGTACAGTACATATCTCTCTGGTAACGTAATGTCGAGAGGTATCTCGGTATTTCCAATAGATTCAAGTTAATGGTCTATCGTGTAGAAAGAACTCGAGAGGGCCAGGATGGAGCAGGAGAGTGCGGCTACGGAGAAGCAGAACCTGGAGAAACGGCTACAGGACGAGAGCTCAGGACTGCACACCTCCTACTCGGACCTCGAGGTCTCACAGTTGAAAGCAGAGATAGAAGTCAGTCTAAAAATTCTTATCAGTTGATGCATAGTATTTATCTTAAGGTGAAGTGAAACCCCCTTCAAATCAGTCGTTTCGAATACAACACTTTTTTTTAAGGGTATTAGACCAAACTGTCCGAAACTTTGACACATCAGTCCTGATCATCTAAGAATTGTCCTGGCACATTCAAAATTTGGATTTTTTAAAAAAACTTTTTAACTCAGTCCTGACCAGAACCAAAATGGCGTCGAGCTCTCATATTTCGATCGATATACAAATATCGAAGGCTCCCATGAGAATCGAAAGAGTCAGGACAATTTTACGACAATTTAGAACACTCTGGTAATCGATAAACTCGCATTTGAACGGGATAAAGGCAAAAAAAGTGTTGTATGCGCTTCTATGCTAAAACGATGGTAATACGAGGTCTCGGAGTGAAAATTTAATTGACCTGGAAATCACAGATGGCGCAGGGGGTCCCTCTGCAGTCAATTAGGGCCCCAGAAAGCATGAATCCAGAGGATTTCTGGCGTTTTACTTCGATTTCTTTATAATTATTGTACGAAAACGACAGGTGGAGTATGCCATTTGGTACAATACCCAATATAATTCAACCCAGCTGTCAATATAAAAACGAACGTCGGCAACGTAGGCATTTAGAAAAATCTTTATCGACGTCGATCAAGTTCCTCGACGTGTTTCACTTCACCTTAATTTGTGTAAAATAAGTGTCTACAGCGCTCTGTCTATCCCGTAGATGTTGAAGCTGGAGCTACAGCGCGCCGAGGGCGAACTGGAGGATCGCTGTTGGTCTCCTCCGGTTGGATTGCAGCATTGGCTTCAGCTCACCCACGAGATCGAGAACAAGGCGTACACGAAGAAGAAGATCTCAGCGGAGAAGCAACTCCAGCAGGCGCGAGAAGCAGTAGGTTCTCCCTTCCTGATGTCTGAAACGGTGTTGTTAGGTCTGAAGATTTTTCTGCAAAATTTAAGGAAATTTTCAATCCGTTTGAGGATAGACCGAAGAAATAAGGAATTTCGAGATAAATCTGAGGAAATTTTCACTGGGGTTTTGACCCCATTTTGTTTTAAGGTGAAGTGAAACACCCTTCAAATCAGTCGATTCGAATACAACACTTTTTTTTAAGGGTATTAGACCAAACTGTCCGAAACTTTGACACATCACTCCTGATCATCTAAGAATTGTCCTGACACATTCAAAATTTGGATTTTTCAAAAAAATTTTTTAACTCAGTCCAGACCAGAACCAAAATGGCGTCGAGCTCTCATATTTCGATCAATATACAATTATCGAAGGCTCTGATATGAGAATCGAAAGGGTCAGGACAATTTTACGACAATTTAGAACACTCTGGTAATCGATAAACTCGCGTTTGAACAGGATAAGGGCAAAAAAAGAGTTGTATGCGCTTCTATGCTAAAACGATGGGAATACGGGGTCTCGGAGTGAAAATTTAATTGACCTGGAAATCACAGATGGCGCAGGGGGTCCCTCTGCAGTCAATTGGGGCCCCAGAAAGTTTAAATCCAGTAGATTTCTGGAGTTTTACTTCGATTTCTTGATATTCATTGTACGAAAACGACAGGTGGAGTATGCCATTTGGTACAATATTCAATGTAATTCGACCCAGCTGTCAATATAAAAACGAACGTCGGCAACGTAGGCATTTAGAAAAATCTTCTTTATCGACGTTGATCAAGTTCCTCGACGTGTTTCACTTCACCTTAAGACTGTAGAAATAAGGAATTTCGAAGCAAATTTGAGGAAATTTTCACCCATTTGAGGATAGACCGAAGAAAGGAATTCTTATGCAAATCTGAAGAAATTCTCGTTAATGATTTAGATTTTTAGAATCCAAAGTGGGAGAGAATAAGCTATTTAAAGAACGTTAATTATTATTTATTGATGATATAACCATTGGGATGCGAGACCGGAAAAAGAGTAGCCGAATTCAATTTCGGATTACCTTTATTTTGGTCCAGCATTTAACAAAATTGAAATACTTAACAGCGGCGAGACTCTGCTGCGCTACCTAGGGAGAGAAAAAAATACTTTCAGTACGTCTGGAGAAATTATTAGTTCCAATACGAGGACCTGGCAACATTGATTTGAAAATAAGTCCTTGGACCAGTTGTACCCAAGGATTTGATTTGAGTTCCGCTACCCCTGGAGACCGAGCACCCTCCCCGAGAATAACCCCAACCACGTAGCTAGAGAACGCTTTCAAAGAAAGCGGTTACTAATTTACAGTGTGAAAAATTAAAGAAGAAGAGGTCCAGCCTAGTGGGTGCCTTTGTGTCGACTCATGGCAAGTCAATCGATGAGGTCGACAGAAGCATCGTCGAGGCCAGGACGGCGCTTAACGAAGTCACGGCCGAACTCCAGGAGCGAGTCCACCGTTGGAAGCAGATCGAACTCCTCTGTGGGTTCAACATCATCAACAACAATGGATTGAATTATCTGGAGACCATTCTATATAGAGGAGCGCCTAATGGCAGGAACCTCGGGCTCAGAGGTATCGGTTTAAGGCTCGCTTATTAAAAATCGCTCTTCGTGTTGTTAAATGTAGCCCATACATTTCTTTCGCATGTACTACGGTTACGTTTAAGAGGTTACTTGAGTGGTTCTTCTATCGTTCCAGGACGCATGAGTAGCCAAGATGATTTAGACGACGATGTAAGCTCACTTTACACCCCATCCTCTTCCGGTGCCGCAGGTAAGCTGGAAACGGACACCCACGAGCACTCGGATTGATCGATCGTTGCTCGACTTATCGTATGTGTGTGTATATAGACATATATTTACAAGAGTACGTCTTCTATGCCAGATTTTGGGCACCCTCCTTTTACCGCTTCGTTTTTTTACGGGGCTGGCTTCTTTCGCACTTACAATTAGATAGACGATAAAATAGGCACCGCTGTAAAAAGTCACCATTAACGCGCTTCGGTCGCAGTTATCGCGTCTCTGCTCTCCTAACTGCAGGGTTATCTCGAAACCGTTTTTCTGGCCCTTAGAAGGGACTGTTCTTTTTAGTTTTCTTTCCTTTAATCAGTGCCATTTATTTTGCCCACAATTGAAGTAAGTCTATCGCGCTTTATACGATACTTCTATGTCTTACATATGTAATAGTGCTTTCGTAACTTGGAGAATACGTTCAAATGTGCTCTCGAGAGTTTTACGACACGATTACGCGGATAGCAAACTATCTGCGACATCTTTAAGCGTTATCTCGCCATGCGGTAAATTTAGTTAAATTCAAGTGCGATAGAGGTTATGTTAGGTTGTTATCGCCGGTTTCACGCGCAGCGCTTGCCGCGCAGGTGACAGCTGTCAGTCGAAGCCACGTGGTCGGGCAGTCTGCTTCACACGTAGTAAGTGCGGTAATTCGCAATAATTCGCAGTAAATCGCAGTAATTCGCAGTAATTCGTTATAACCAGTTATGGCCTGTGTCCACGATGTTAGAACTCGGTCCGAGATCTCGACACAAGCCCTTTATAACCTTTCGACGATGGTTATACCGGGTAATGTCTCGTTCGAGTAGGGTAGAATCTCGTATTTTTTATCCCCTATGTTTCTCCGTTCTCCCGTATTTTTTTTTTCCATTCTACTTGTTGCCTGGAACTAAAAACTCTGGCTCCGCTTGCCCTTACTCGAGGAGTATTAATACGCCTGGACTAATGTGCTACGATCAAGGGTGATTCGACGTAACCTCTCCTTGATTAGACTCTCTGTATTTATCCAACCGACCGTTCTCGTGTGAGTGTGTGTGTGGGGGGGGGCCTCCCTTATTGTTAGTCGGCAAGCCAGAGGGTGCATCGATAAGCGACTGCTGGAAAGTTCATTCGTTCCACGAAGGAACGGATGTCTAGTTGTAAGGGCTTCCATGCTGCACCATAACTCCATAAGAGCCCTTTGTTACTTCGATAAGTCTACACACGGTTGTACCAGTGTCCTGCGACGATGCTTCGGCATCAAAGTCTGTGAGAAGTCAGCAGTGATTGAGCATCGATCGATCAGTGGTGGGAGAAGGAGCACGTTTTGGGCACTCGGGTAGTCGATTGCCTGTAATCATGTTCCATCGGCTGTGATAACGTTCCCAGGACAAGTGCGATTCAAATCGTTTGCTTTTAATGCTCAGTCGAGTGGCACGCCCTAGCTGCAATTAGAGCGAAATTATTACAACATGTTGATAACGAGAAGCTTTAATAAGGACCGGGTGATTAGAATATTAACGGATATCAAGGCAGCGTCGAATCAAAGGATAGGATTTCCCTTGTTAGCAGCAAGGAAAGAGAGGAAGATGCAGATCTGTGTTATGTAAATTGTAAGATAGAACGGCAGGACCGTTACGAAGGGAAAATTTTTTTATTTAGATTTTATAAACAGCTCGGGCGTTATCAAACACGTGCCTTACATTGTTCATATCGACAGATGGAAATTCCGGCTTGAACGATGCTCCCGAATAGCGGTAATACGCGCCACAGTATTAAATAGAAATTGAGAGAAGGAGAAAAGAAACAGAGGAAGCCGGAGGGTCTGAAAAAGCGTTTCCTTTCGACCGTCTCCTTCCTGGAGGATCGTTGAAATACTCCTTACGAAGAGAGGAAGACCTGAAAGTGAAAGTGAAGTGTAGAACGTAAGGGCAGGAGTTTCGTCCGAATAATCCAAAAGGGGTTAGTTAATTAATCAGCGAGGTGCAAACAATTATTATCTCGGTATACTAGTAAGGAGGGAATTTATATTAGTATATGCGACAGTGTATCTTCACCGTAGAGGTGAACGGTGGTGAGTCCATTTCAGGAAGTTTTGTCTAAGTTTTACAACGAGGCAAAATCAATGAATAGATAAAAGAAATAACTAATATTGGAGGAAGTTGGACTTAAGACTGTTTACCTATACGGGGTGGATATGTAATACACGATAATGTATATAGACACTTAGAGGAAGTTGCGGAGAGACGTTTTGTAGGCAATAAGTCTATATAGGTAGCCAGGTTTTCTGCGACAGGATTCTCAATGATGTGACGCGATATGAGTTAACAATCTCTCGAGGTAATTGAGCGGGCGCAAGTAATTGTACAGTGGCGGACATGAATGTCTTTCCTGCGGATGTGGTGCAGGTGTATGATAAGAAGGCACTCGTACTCGGTTATTCCCATAAGTTCGCGGTAAATTTGTGAAGGTTCGACAGGTTTTATTTTCCCTACGAAACGAACCTTGCCATCGGTTGACAATGTATCTTCCGACACTGTTGATTCGTCACTTCTTGCCAAGTGGTCCAAGTAAAGAGTCTAAATTGGAATAAAATTTAAATTAAGATTAGATAAAAGAAAATTAAAATGTTAATTGCAAGAATGTAATGTTAGATTCTTAGAAAAAAAAAAAAAAAGAAGAAGAAGAAAGAAAATTACTTAGGTCACTTTCATGATCATCCGTACGATTATCTGTGAAGGGAATTCTCTCTAAAAGGAAACACGACGCTGTGAGTTTCTCGCTCAAAAATGTATTTGGCTCGAAACTCTATCGAGTTTCTTGGTTTGTCTGCGGATGGATGAAACGATATTCACCAGTGTACCCTGGGGGACATGACTTCTCTTTGACGGTTTGGCGTTTTGACGGTACCATATCCGTAAAAAAGGATTCATACGAGCAGGGAACACGAATTTGTGGTATTCGAAGAGGGCACTGGTGGATATAATTGCAGAGAATTTATGTGTATACATTCGCTAGTGCACACCTCGAGTAATTAGAGTAGGTTCAAGATGGACGAACGCCTCGAGAGGTCCACGTGAGGGAATCACTTTATAATCGTGATTATGCGATGATAAAAATCCTCGTGAGAAAGAAAGCAATTTATAATCGTGATTACTTGATAACACAAAAAATCCTCGCGAGAGAGAAACCAATTTATAATCGTGATTACTTGATAATTAAAAAAATTCTTGCGAGGTAGGAATCACTTTATAATCGTGATTATGCGATGATAATAAAAATCCTCACGAGGAAGGAAGGAATTTATAATCGTGATTACTCGGTAACATAAAAAATCCACGTGAGAAAGAAAGCAATTTATAATCGTGATTACTAGGTAATTAAAAAAATTCTTGCGAGGTAGGAATCACTTTATAATCGTGATTATGCGATGATAATAAAAATCCTCGCGAGGAAGGAAGCACTTTATAATCGTGATTACTCGATAACATAAAAAATCCACGTGAGAAAGAAAGCAATTTATAATCGTGATTACTAGGTAATTAAAAAAATTCTTGCGAGGTAGGAATCACTTTATAATCGTCATTATGCGATGATAATAAAAATCCTCGCGAGGAAGGAAGCATTTTATAATCGCGATTACTCGATAATAAAAAAAAAAGAAATCCTTGGGAGAAAGCACCTTATAATCACGATTATGCGATAGTATGAATAAATTCTTGCGAGGAAGGAATCATTTTATAATTGTGATTTGCGATGATAATAAAAATCCTCGTGAGCAAGAAAGCAATTTATAATCGTGATTACTCAATAACACAAAAAATCCTCGCGAAAGAGAAACCAATTTATAATCGTGATTACTCGATAATTAAAAAAATTCTTGAGAGGAAGAAATTACTTTATAATCGTGATTACTCGATAATACAAAAAATCCTCGCAAGGGAGAGAGCAATTTATGATCGTGATTACTCAATAACACATAAAATCCTCCCGAGAGAGGATGCAATTTATAATCGTGATTACTCGATAATTAAAAAAAATTCTTGCGAGGAAGGAATGACTTTATAATCGTGATTATGCGATGATAATAAAAATCCTCACGAGGAAGGAAGGAATTTATAATCGTGATTACTCGATAATAAAAAAAATTCACGCGAGGGAGAAAGCAATTTATAATCGTGATTATGCGAAGGAAGGAATTTATAATCGTGATTACTCGATAATAAAAAAAATTCACGTGAGGGAAGGAAGGAATTTATAATCGTGATTACTCGATAATAAAAAAAATTCACGCGAGGGAGAAAGCAATTTATAATCGTGATTATGCGAAGGAAGGAATTTATAATCGTGATTACTCGATAATAAAAAAAATTCACGTGAGGGAGGAATCAATTTATAATCGTGATTATGCGATTTTAATAAAAATCCTCGCGAGGAAGGGAGCATTTTATAATCGCGATTACTCGATAATAAAAAAAAAAAGAAATCCTTGGGAGAAAGCACCTTATAATCACGATTATACGATAGTATGAAGAAATCCTTGCGAGGAATGAAGCACTTTATAATCGTGATCCCGTAATAATAAAAAATCCCTCGTACGGAAGGAGCACTTTGTAATCGAGATTATTCGGTAGTAAATAGAATCCCCGGGAGAAAGAAAGCACTTTATAATCATGATTACGTGATAATAAAAAAAAAATAAATAAAGACCCCTCGCGAGGACCCGTCTCGCCGCAATCAACTCGATCACTGTGACTTACGATAACCCTTACGATATGCTATTCGCCGTCTCTCATTGTGTGTAACCCCAGCTCGTAATTAATTAATAAAGTCACGTGAAAGCTCATATCACACGTGTATACATAGATCATGTATGAACGGACGCATACGTATACACTCGGGTCCACGTGGTGACAATTGCTCACCTTCGCTCACTCTTTCCCGCCGATAGGCTGATTAGCTGATAAGCATTAACGATGTCGAGGGGGGAGAATTGACACTTTTTTTAGACCTCGATTTAGGTGGGACCCAGGGCCGTCCCTTTTCGACCTCGTGGACGATCGCCGCAGGATTATTAGGAAGGACCTCGCGTTAAGTCCAGCTAAGTTGATGTTAAAAAACCTCTGGGTGTTAAGACAGGCGTCGATGGATGTATCGAAGCATCGTGTCTCGGACTTGTACATATCTATGTCACGTTCCTTCGTGCTGCACCTCCAATTACGGGATTAAGAAGATTTCCTATTTTTTTCTACATTTGTCGAGAGATAATTCCTCTTTTTTCTCAAGAGAAAATTCCTCCGTTTTCTTTACTTTCTCGAGAGAAAATTCCTCTTTTGGCTTGATGAAGGGAAATTTAACATTTTTGTTTTTCACTTTGTTAAGAGAAAATTCCTCTTCTCGGTACTTGCCAAGGGAGAATTCCTCTTCTTTTCTTGATTTGTCAAGAGATAATTCCTCTTTTTTGTCAAGAGAAAATTCCTCTGTTTTCTTTACTTTCTCGAGAGAAAATTCCTCTTTTGGCTTGATGAAGGGGAATTTCACGTTTTTCTTTTTTCTTCTGACTTTCTCAGGAGAAAATTCCTCGTCTCGGTATTTGGCAAGGTAGAATTCTTATTTTTTTCTTGATTTGTCAAGAGATAATTCCTCTTTTTTGTCAAGAGAAAATTTCTCTGTTTTTCTTTACTTCCTCGAGAGAACATCCCTCTTTTGGCTTGATGAAGGGGAATTTCATGTTTTTTTTTTTCTTTTGACTTTCTCAAGAGAAAATTTCTTGTCTCAGTACTTGGCAAGGGAGAATTCTTCTTTTTTTTCTCTTGATTTGTCAAGAGATAATTCCTCTTTTTTGTCGAGAGAAAATTTCTCTGTTTTTCTTTACTTTCTCGAGAGAAAATTCCTCGTCTCGGTACTTGGCAAGGGAGAATTCCTCTTCTTCTCTTGAACTTATCGAAAGAAAATTCAAGGAGAACGAATGCGCGCCTCGGAAACCCGCGATATGATGATAAGAGCGGAAGTTCTGACCATGCTATCAAGACCCACTGGACGACCCCAAGGAAATTTGCTAATCACGGACAATTGATAACACGTTCCTGTAATCATGCGTTCGTTGACCCGACTTGTAATTCCCCTAGCTCGAGTGTAAGCGATTTTTTTTTTTAAAGAGCCCTGCACGAGGAATGCCGAATCCCCTGTGCTTCGTTTTCTCCCCTTTATTTAATAGTTTGTGAAAATTTTCTTTAAACACCCGACACCCTGTATAACAATTTGGGGGTACTTTTGTCTTGTCAATTTCGAGTTTACAAAAAGGTCTTTACGGGAGTCTGTAAGAGCACAGTGGAGCTGGATCTACGATGTCTTTTACAATACTTTCTATCTTTATACTATTAAGGTGAAGTGAAACACGTCGAGGAACTTCATCGACGTCGATAAAGAAGATTTGTCTAAATGCCTACGTTGCCGACGTTCGTTTTTATATTGACAGCTAGGTCGAATTATATTGGGTATTGTACCAAATGGCATACTCCACCTGTCATTTTCGTACAATAATTATAAAGAAATCGAAGTAAAACTCCAGAAATCCTCTGGATTCGTGCTTTCTTGGACCCTAATTGATTGCAGAGGGACTCCCTGCGCCATCTGTGATTTCCAGGCCAATTAAATTTTCACTACGAAACCTCGTATTACCATCGTTAAAGCATAGAAGCGCATACAACACTTTTTTTGCCTTTATCCCGGTGAAATGCGAGTTTATCGATTACCAGAGTGTTCTAAATTGTCGTAAAATTGTCCTGACCCTTTCGTTTCTCATATCAGAGCCTTCGATAATTGTATATTAATCGAAATATGAGAGCTCGACTCCATTTTGGTTCTAGTATGGGCTGAGTTAAAAAATTTTTCTTAAAAAATCCAAATTTTGAATGTGTCAGGACAATTCTTAGATGATCAGGAGAGATGTGTCAAAATTTCGGATAGGTTGGTCTAATACCCTTAAAAAATGTGTTGTATTCGATCGACTAATTTGAAGAGGGTTTCACTTCACCTTAAAGTGAAGTGAAACATGTCGAGGAACTTGATCAACGTCGATAAAGAAGATTTTTCTAAATGCCTACGTTGCCGTCGTTCGTTTTTATATTGACAGTTATATCGAATTATATTGGGTATTGTACCAAATAGCATACTCCACCTGTCGTTTTCTTACAATAATTATAAAGAAATCGAAGTAAAACTCCAGAAATCCTCTGGATTCATGCTTTTTTGGACCCTAATTGACTGCAGAGGGACTCCCTGCGCCATCTGTGATTTCCAGGCCAATTAAATTTTCCCTTCGAAACCTCGCATTCCTATCGTTCTAGTACAGAAGCGCATAAAACACTTTTTTGGCCTTTATCCCGTTCAAATGAGTTTATCGACTACCAGAGTGTTCTAAATTGTCGTAAAATTGTCCTGACTCTTTCGATTCTCATATCAGAGCGCTCGATAATTGTATATTGATCGAAATATGAAAGCTCGACGCCATTTTGGTCCTAGTCTGGGCTGAGTTGAAAAGTTTTTTTAAAAATCCAAATTTTGAATGTGCCAGGACAATTCTTAGACGACCACGAGTCATGTGACAAAGTTTCGGACAGTTTGGTCCAATACCCATAAATAAAAGTGTTGTATTCGAATCGACTGATTTGAAGGGGGTTTCACTTCACCTTAAACGAACCACTAATATAAACTGTTTTAGAAGATACATTTAAGGTGCGAGTAGCGTTTCGGCTAATGCTAGATCTATTCGTAGATTCATCTAATTCCTTGTAGGGACGTATTGGATAATCGGAGAACGTTCTTGCCCGTAGTCTCCTCGCTGTATCTTGTGTTCCTCGGTCCGTCTCGCAAATCTGCGAATGTTAACCCTTTATAGCGTGATATATTATTCTTTAAAAAATTTATTGTAAAGTTCGGTTACTTAAAACAATTACTCATTCCGGGCACTGATCCGTATGGCGACCAATGTATAAAGGGTTAACACGGGGACGTAACGTTACGTTCTCCGGCTGCACTCTCGCCTATAGTCCTGCTCACTATATTCCCCTATTCCTGACCGCACCTGGAAACCAATGTGAATTAATGTTACCGTTTAATGTCATATTTTTTATTAACATGGTTGGATTCTTTACCGATATTACCTAGAGTCCTTCTCAGTGTACTGTATATTCATATCACCTAGAGTTCTCTTTGATATGTGCTGTTCAGTGATGTTACCCAGTCTTCATCGGTATATAATGTATACTTGTATTACCAAAATCCTTCTCAGTATATATTGATTCACGTTACCTAGAATCTCCCTCACTATGTATCGTATATTGGTGTCATCTAGAGTTCTTAGTATGTATCACATATTGATGTTACCTAGAGTTCTCTTCACTATATGCTGTACCTTGGTATTATCTAGAGTTCTCTTTAGTATATGTTGCATCCTCATGGCACCTAGAGTCCTGCGCAGTATATATTGTATCCCAGTGTCACCTAGAGTCCTCCTCGGTATATACCGTATACCGATGTCATCAAGAGTTCTCATTGGTACATGTTGTATGCTCAAGTCACCTAGAGTCCACTTCAGTATATATTGTATCCTTGTGTTACCTAGAGTCTTCCTCGGTATATACCGTATACCGATGACACCTAGAGTTCTCTTTAGTATATGTCGTATCCTCATGTCACCTAGAGTTCTACGCAGTATATATTGTATTCTTGTGTCACCTAGTCCTCCGCAGTATATATTGTATCCGTGTATCACCTAGAGCCCTCCTCGGTATATACCGTACACCGATGTCACCATGAGTTCTCATTGGTACATGTATGCTCAAGTCACCTAGAGTCCTCTTCAGTATATATTGTATCCTTGTGTTACCTAGAGTCCTCCTCGGTATATACCGTATACCGATGACACCTAGAGTTCTCTTTAGTATATATCGTATCCTCATGTTACCTAGAGTTCTCCGCAGTATATATTGTATCCTCGTGTCACCTAGAGTCCTCTGCAGTATATATTGTATCCTTGTGTCACCTAGAGTCCTCCTCGGTATATACTGTACACCGATGTCACCAAGAGTTCTCATTGGTACAAGTTGTCTGCTCAAGTCACCTAGAGTCCTCTTCAGTATATATTGTATCCTTGAGTTACCTAGAGTCCTCCTCGGTATATACCGTATACCGATGACACCTAGAGTTCTCTTTAGTATATGTCGTATTCTCATGTCACCTAGAGTCCTCCGCAGTATATATTGTATCCTTGTGTCACCTAGCGTCCTCCTCGGTATATACCGTACACCGATGTCACCTAGAGTTCTCTCTAGTATATGTTGTATCTTCATGTTACCTAGAGTCCTCCTCGGTATACCATCCCCACGCGTAACCTAGAGTCTTCCTTGGCATATAATCCTATCCCGCGAGAGCAGTGCAAAGTAACACGGCGAGGCCCCGTTATGTCCCTAGGTGTGTTGGAGGGCCTGGCGTGGAAGGAGACCTCGGTGCCGCCCGACTCGTCGAGCAGCGAGACGGGGAAGGAGACGCCCCCGGAGGTGGTGCAGTTCACAGTGGGCGAGGGTGCGGAGGAGGCGCCGAAGCCGCCGGCCCGGGAGAAGGGCAGCATGGTCCGGTCCTATAGTCAGGACACCAACATGATCCTCCACGAGGACCGGCCGTTCCCCTCGTCTTTTCTCTCGAAGACCTCCCTCTCGGAGAACTCCCTGGACGCGGACAAGATGGCCGCGCGCCACGGCTTCGTCAAGAAGCCTCTCAGGGACCTGCCCACCGTCATGTCCGTCGACGACGAGACCCTCTCGACGGACTCTAACTCGACGGCGGACAACGACGAGCTCAAGAGGCGCCGCCGGAAGCTCCACTTCCCCTTCCGAAGGAACAAGCCCAAGCTCACGTGATGCCGGCCGCCATCTTGGATTACTTAATAGCGACGTACTTGCGAGATGCGCTCAAACGCGACGCGGAGAGGAAGACGGGGTACTTAAATATGCCTTGCCCCTTGGAGCCCTCGTACATCCGCGGAGTCGAGGTTAGGTCACGTGGGCCGTGGCTCGGTTCCTTATTTTTTTTTCTCTCTTTCTCTCTCTCTCGTTTCCGATGCCACGGCCGTCGAGGTGTTTCTCTCCGTCCGGGCGCTGTAAATTGTAATTCTAACGAGAGTCCCTTCGAGGGCTTCCCCTCGCTCGACGAGCCACGTGGGGCGTCACGTGGTCCAACGTGACAGCGGTCACGTGGTCCAACGTAACAGCGGTCACGTGGTCCAACGTGAGAGCGGTCACATGGTCTAACGTGAGAGCGGTCACGTGGTCCAACGTGACAGCGGTCACGTGGTCCAACGTGACAGCGGTCACGTGGTCCAACGTGAGTGCGGTCACGTGGTCCAACGTGAGAGCGGTCACGTGATTCAACGTGACAGCGGTCACGTGGTCCAACGTGGCAGCGGTCACGTGATCCGCCGCCGACCACGTGGTGACTTGACGTTTCGGAGCGGCCGGCATTGCGCCCTCGTCCCGGGCTCCTCGAGTTCTCAGACTCTTAGATTTTATTCTCACGACCTTGGGTATTCTTCGGGATGCCTGCTCCATACCGAAACGTTGAGTTACCCCTTTTGCGACCTTCCAGTGAGGGCTCCCCGAAGATAGACCGACACTCCTTACCTTAGTAACGTGTGATAGTTTGTTAGTACGACGCTCGCGACGTCTCGCAAGTAAGCTGTAAATATACGCGCAGGGATGAGGAAAATCGGTCTTGGGCTTGATGTCGAATGAAAGATGCAAATTGATCTTTCCCTTTTTGCAAAAAGTGTTAAGGGGATGTGAAAGTGGCATCGATCGTTCATAAAAGTTTTCTCCGTGCTTGCAACGTGAATATGGGGGCTCTAACGACATCCCGACATCCATGAAATTTCATTTTTAATAAAAAATTTAACAAAATACCTATAAACAAATGTTCGAACAATTGAAATTTCACCGGTGTCAGGACCTTCCTTAAAGCCTCCTTATTCACGTTGGAAACTTTGAAACGATTCGATACACCCAGTTAAGAGAAAAGTTTCATAAACGAGACCTCTTAGTAGCCACTTTCACATCACCTTAAATTGGTCATTGCACTTTTTGCAAGAAACGCGGAATCGGTCTTGCACGTTGTTGCAAAAGTGCAAAATCGATCTTGCACTTTTTGCAAGACCAAGACCAAAATCGATCTTCCTCATCGCTATATACGCCGCGTGAACCTCTGTACCCCAGCGGACATGGATGCTTTCCATTCAAGAAATAACGGCATCATGGACCACGGGGAAGGCAATCATGTTCACAATTGTACCCTCAGGATGATCTCGAACCTCGAGAGCGTTCTACGTGCACCTGGGTGCGAACCTCGACGGATTCGACTCGAAGGAGAGGACGTGGACGCTTTTCGTTCAAGAAATGACGGCACCATGTTCTACGGGGAAGGCAAACATGTTCACTATTGTACCCTCAGGATGATCTTGAACCTCGAGAGCGTCCTACGTGCACCTGGGTGCGAACCTCGACGGATTCAACTCGAAGGAGAGGACATGGACGCTTTCCATTCAAAAAATGACGGCACCATGGACCACGGAGAAGGCAATCATGTTCACCGTTGTACCCTCAGGATGATCTTGAACCTCGAGAGCGTCCTACGTGCACCTGGGTGCGAACCTCGACGGAGAGGACATGGACGCTTTTCGTTCAAGAAATGACGGTACCATGGTCCACGGGAAGGCAAACATGTTCATCATTGTACCCTCAGGGTAATTTTGAACCTCGAGAGCGTCCTACGTGCACCTGGGTGCGAACCTCGACGGATTCGACTCGAAGGAGACAGTTCGTTTCTCTTCCTTTTCCCGACCAAGGGGTCGACAAGTCGCAGGTCGGACCTGAAATTAGTTTGTTAGGACAATTCACGAGTACCCGACGACGAGATGAGCGACGACGCCCATCGTCGTTGTCTTTGCACGAGCAGACGTCCGCGATGGCGATAACCCCTGACACCGTCGTCAGGTGTTGGGTACACGCGTAGCGATAAATCGTAGCGATTTGTAATCTCTTCAGAGTTAAATGTATTGCGTCCAATTCCTGTATATCGTTCACATGTTATCTGAACAGATAACGTAAGTTGGGTCTGTACATATCGATTTACACCGATTTACTGTAACGATTCATCGTAACGATTCATCGTAACGATTCATCGTTGCGGGAGAAGTCACCTTTAAAATGACTACATGTTGTGATAAATCGTATCGTTTTGTAATCCGTACCGTTAATCGAGTTTGTCTAAATTTGTATAGGTAGATCTATGTAGATTTATCGCAACAATTTATCGTCACGTGTGTTAACTTCGTCTGGTTCCGTTTTTCCTTCTCTCCCTGCGTTTTCAGTCCAAGGACCATGTAAAAAAAATATGAATCTCGAACGCGCCCCGTTGTTAAGTTAACGTAGGACTCGAATCTCTCTAGACTCACGATTGCTTCGTTCTGGACTCTCTTTCGATGTTTTTTTTTCTCTCTCTTTAGCGGGTCCACGCGCGTAATATGTCAATTAAAGGAACCAGGGTTCACGAGGGGAAGGGACTCTTGGCACCTGGCACCGATCGACGTTCTCGGCTCTCCTTCGTCTCCACGTCTTCCAATGAGAGGAGAAAGAGAGGAAAAAGACGAGACCTCTCCTTTTTCTTTTTCTTTTTTTTTTCTTTTTTTCCGGAGTCCCATCTTCGATCTTATGGTGATATTAATCTAGCGTCCGATGAATCAATCGTTCATGAAACTCTTTCTCGAATTGTGCGTATGTCGTATCGTTTGAAATAAAGTCTCTAACGAAGGTCCTGACATTTGTGAAATCTCACGTTTTTATGAATTCGTTAAGGTGAAGTGAAACCCCCTTCAAATCAGTCGATTCGAATATAACACTTTTTTTTAAGGGCATTAGACTGTCCCAAACTTTGACACATCACTCCTGATCATCTAAGAATTGTCCTGACACGTTCAAAATTTGGATTTTTTAACAAAAGTTTTTAACTCAGCCCAGAACCAAAATGGCGTCGAGCTCTCATATTTCGATCGATATACAATTATCGAAGGCTCTGATATGAGAATCGAAAGGGTCAGGACAATTTTACGACAATTTAGAACACTCTGGTAATCGATAAACTCGCATTTGAACGGGATAAGGGCAAAAAAAGTGTTGTATGCGCTTCTATGCCAAAACGATGGGAATACGAGGTCTCGGAGTGAAAATTTAATTGACCTGGAAATCACAGATGGCGCAGGGGGTCCCTCTGCAGTCAATTAGGGCCCCAGAAAGCATGAATCCAGAGGATTTCTGGAGTTTTACTTCGATTTCTTTATAATTATTGTACGAAAACGACAGGTGGAGTATGCCATTTGGTACAATACCCAATATAATTCGACCCAGCTGTCGATATAAAAACGAACGTCGGCAACATAGGCATTTAGAAAAATCTTCATTATCGACGTTGATCAAGTTCCTCGACGCGTTTCACTTCACCTTAACACATTCGCGACCGGCAAATTTTTTCCGTTTCAAATACCGAGTACCGACGAAAATAATGAAATTCTGAAACTGGTTGCCGCACACTTGTATCGTGTTTAGTTATGGACGTGATTCACGTCAGCGGCAATCAGGAATAAAATTTAAAATGACGTGAATCCACGTCAGCGGCAAAACAGGAATAGAATTCAAAATGACGTGAATTCACGTCAGCGGCAAAACAGGAATAGAATTTAAAATGACGTGAATTCACGTCAGCGGTTGCGAACGTGTTAATAATATTTTAAACACGTCGTTGTTAAAATTGACATTTCATGAGAGTCGTGACCTTCTTTGGGAATTTTGTAATCGCGTGGTAAAATTTCAAAGGATTTGGTGGATCCAGTTCGGAGAAAAGCTGCACACACTGTTGACTTACCGCATGCCCTTTCATATCACCTTAAGGTAATGTGACCTTAAGGTGATGCGGAAGTGGCGTCAAAAGTATTTATGAAACTTTTTTCCTAACTGGATGTACAGAATCGTTTCAAACTTGACAATGGGAATATAGAGGATGTAAGGATGGTCCCGAAACCCATGAAATTCCAATTTTTTACAAATTTGTTCATAGGTATTTTTTAAAATTTGTTATAAAACGTGAAATTTCATGAGTGTCAAGACCTTCCTTGTAGCCTTTACATTTATTTTGTAAAGTTTGATACGATTCGGTACACCCAATTCCGAGAAAAGTATCATAAACGAGACCTCTATGACATGACTTTCACATCCCCTTAAGGTGATGTGATAGCGGCATCCGAAAGCTCAATCGTTCATAAAACTTTTCTACAAACTGGATGTCTCAAATATTTTATTTTTATTATTTCATACTTTAAAACGTGAATATGGAGACTCTAAGGTAGGTCCTGAAACTCGCGAAACTTCATTCATTCTAAACTATTTTTAAAATACCCATAAGCAAATTTGAAAAGAATTGATATTTCATGAGTTTCAGGACTTTCCTTATAGTCTCCCTATTCACTGTGCAAAGTTTCAAACTATTCGGTAAACCGAGTTGGGAGAAAAGTTTTATAAACAAAACCTCTTCGACGCCACTTTCACATCACCTTAAGCTCCAGCAGGGAATTATTACCGGAGGCCGAGGGGTGTACTTGGCGCGAGACTCTGCAGGGTCTCCACCCCGAGAGAACGGCCCAACTTTTGTCCTCTCAGGCTCCTCAGGGACTCCGAACGTCTCCTGTTTCCCCGAGAGATCTCGAGATGGCGGTTCGAGCGAAATCTGTAAAAAGTCGAATGAATAAACGAATTAACAAGGTCCCTCTCTGCGTACGTGAATTTTACGATATGCGCTCGTGCAACGACAGGGTTGGGTAATTCCCAAATTTTCGAGGCTTTTCACGTATATTACGTAAGAAAGTAGTTTACCGGAGAAAATCGTAGAAAACCACTGAATTACGTTTCCAATATGGAGAATGCCGCAGCTGGAGGATATACAACTTCTGCTAGGTTATAAACGTCTTTTAGCACATACGTAAACACGGAAATATTTTAAGGGCGCTCACCACTCCAGCGATTTTGCAGGGCCTCACGGGGACAACGATTCCGAACGTATTTCTAAACCGATCGAGCTTAACGAGTTCTTACATCGAAGTGGACATCACAGATGGCGCAGAGGGTTTCTCTGCATTCAATTAGGGCCCCAGAAAGCACGAATCCAGAGGATTTCTGGAGTTTTACTTCGATTTCTTTATAATTATTGTACGAAAACGACAGGTGGAGTATGCNAATCGTTGTCCCCGTGAGGCCCTGCAAAATCGCTACAGTGGTGAGCGCCCTTAAGGAAAAATGAACACTAGATTGCCGGATGTTGGGTATATACCTATTTCGCCTGAAATGAGTCACTTTGACTCAAACATCAAAATTGAGTTTTTAAAAGAAAATAAAATCTTATTTTAATGAAACTTTATTCAAAACAATTGTTACATATATATTCTGGAAGCACTCTTTACAGTACGAAGTATAATATTTCTTTTGGAGTAGGAAGTTGGCCCTGAGACGTCTTTGAATTTGGTATGACCGGGAAATCTACCAGTATTTTTACCATCTTTCAATGTTTCCCATAATGTCCCATCAGCAGCCCTTTGCGTTGAAATTTTTTAATTATCGGATCTATCTGCAGGGTCTAATTCACTTTCGGTTTTAAAATCAGGAATATATCGTACTCTTTTTCTGCCAACAGTTATGTAACGATCACTATCACTAGCACTTGTTTCACTTTCGGATAGAAAACAAGCTCTTCTTTTTCTAGGAGCTGTACGATGAAGATCTTCATCTTCCCTGCTCGAAAATTTAATCCTATTAGCTTGATTCTCTATTTCATATAGTTCGGTATCGGATGCATCGGATTCGATATCTGACTGGTTTCCTCTTATTTGGGTCATTTTTTTTTCGCAATTTAAGATCTCTTACATTTTTTCTCACAATAGTAACCCTTATCTAGAACTAAAATATTTATTTACATTTACGTAAATACATCTTATACATAAATTCTGAAATTACCTTGGAACGCAAAAATTCATCAAAAATAATTTACAAAATTTATTTTCTTTTATGTTACCAAAAATGCATTATTCTCTCCGATGCCATAAATCGAAATGGAATAACACAATGAATTTTTTATCAGAGCTTTCGTAAAAGCCTTCAAAAAAAAAGACGCAACAAATAATTTCACAATATTAAATGTGCACGTTTGCAATAAATATCTAGCTAGTAAATTGACAAGTTTGAACGTGAAAACTATCGAATCGGATTGTTTACAACAAATTTCTATGGACAAGAAATAAGTTACTTGTATCTAAAACGACCAACTTTAAAAATATTTAATGAGTCAATTTGACTCACATCCGTCAAAATAGGTATAGCACATATGGATTTTTGGAACTAAGGAAAGGGGAGAGGAAGGAATCAGCATTTGTATACATTTCATAATTTTATTAAAAACCAAGATATGTTTTAAAGATAAATTATTTAAGTTTTTCTATATATATAGTAATAAAATTGTAAATGAGAAATCGGCTCGTTCCGGCAATCTAGTGTTAATTCATTCGGCACGTATATTCAAAATTGTTTAGACTTCAAGGTTTTCAATATGGCGGATTCCACAGATGCATGGTATATGTATTCGAGAGGTTAACGTCTTTCGGCGCATATATAAACACGTAAAAATTGTTAAGAAATAATTAATTAGGTGTTTGCGTTCAAATTCTTTCGACTTAACCCTGTTTAATATCAAATTTCTAATTGGATTTGTTAATTTCTAGTTAGAAAGAGAGGGGCGTAATGTACACTGGGAGACATCAATGCCCTCCCATCCTGCACAGGCGATGCCGTATCTGCAGGGGAGGCATTTATGTCCGCCATTGTACACTGGGAGACATCAATGCCCTCCCATCCTGCACAGGCGATGCCGTATCCTGCAGGGGAGGCATTCATTTCCGTCAGTGTACTTTGCGTTCGCGTAGAAAACTAGGGACGTATTATACGTTCATATACGCGTAGATAACGACGTATATTACATGACGTATTATACTTACCCAACCCTATGCAACGATAAAATGTAATTTTATTAAGGTGAAGTGAAACCCCCCTCAAATCAGTCGATTCGAATACATTTTTTTTTAAGGGTATTGGACCAAACTTTGTCCGAAACTTTGTCACATCACTCCTGATCATCTAAGAATTGTCCTGACACGTTCAAAATTTGGATTTTTTAACAAAATTTGTTAACTCAGACCAGACCAGAACCAAAATGGCGTCGAGCTCACAAATTTCGATCGATATACAATCATCGAAGGCTCTGATATGAGAATCGAAAGGGTCAGGACAATTTTACGACAATTTAGAACACTCTGGTAATCGATAAACTCGCATTTCGTCGGGATAAAGGCAAAAAAAGTGTTGTATGCGCTTCTATGCTAAAACGATGGGAATACGAGGTCTCGGAGTGAAAATTTAATTGACCTGGAAATCACAGATGGCGCAGGGGGTCTCTCTGCAGTCAATTAGGGCCCCAGAAAGCATGAACCCAGAGGATTTCTGGAGTTTTACTTCGATTTCTTTATAATAATTGTACGAAAACGACAGGTGGAGTATGCTATTTGGTACAATACCCAATATAATTCGATCTAACTGTCAATATAAAAGCAAACGTCGGCAACGTAGGCATTTAGAAAAATCTTCTTTACCGACGTCGATCAAGTTCCTCGACGTGTTTCACTTCACGTTAATAAGTGCGAGTTTTGTGACGCACTTGT